CCACATGAGGCCGGGCATTGTCGTGCACCAGGAGGAACCCAGGACCCACTGTACCAGCGTAGGGTCTGACAATGGGTCCAAGGATTTCATCCCGATACCTAATGGCAGTCAGGGTGCCATTGTCTAGCCTACAGAGGTCTGTGTGTCCCTCCATGGATATGCCTCCCCAGACCATCACTGACCCACCACCAAAACGGTCATGCTGAATGATGTTACAGGCAATGTTCTCCATGGCTTGTCCAGACCCTTTAACGTCTGTCACATGTGCTCAGGGTGAACCTGATCTCATCTGTGAAAAGCGCAGGGCGCCAGTGGTGGACCTGCCAATTCTGGTGTTCAATGGCAAATACCAATCGAGCTTTATGGTGACGGGCAGTGAGCACAGGGTCCACTAGAGGACGTCGAGCCCTCAGGCCACCCTCATGAAGTCTGTTTCTGATTGTTTGGTCAGAGACATTCACACCAGTGACCTGCTGGAGGTCATTTTGTAGGGTTCTGACAGTGCTCATCCTGTTCCTCCTTCCACAAAGGAGCAGATACCAGTCCTGCTGATGGGTTAAGGACCTTCTATGGCCCTGTCCAGCTCTCCTAGAGTAACTGCTTGTCTCCTGGAATCTCCTCCATGCTCTTGAGACTGTGCTGGGAGGCACAGCAAACCTTCTGGCAATGGCATGTATTGATGTGCCAACCTGAAGGAGTTGGACTGCCTGTGCAACCTCTGTAGGGTCCAGGTATCCCCTCATGTTACCAGTAGTGACACTGACCCTAGCCAAATGCAAAACTAGTGAAAAGAGGAGTAAGCGAAAAAATGTCAGTGGTCTCCACCTGTAAAACCATTCCTGTTTTGGGGTAATCTCATTGTTGCCCATCTAGTGCACCTGTTGTTAATTTCCTTAACACCAAAGAAGCCAAAATTGATTAACAGCTCCCTCTACTACTTAACTGACCAGATCAATATCCCAGGAGTTTAATTGACTTAATTTATTTTACTTAATTATTTCAGGTAGTTATATAGCACCATCAATTTACGCAGTGCTTTACATACATATGTTGCACATTCACATCAGTCCCTAACCCTCAAGGGGTGTACAATCTAAGGTCCCTAACTCACATTCATACATACACATACTAGGACAATTTAGACAGGATCCAATTAACCTACCAGCATGTCTTTTGAGTGTGGGAGGAAACTGGAGTACCCATGCAAACTTCAGGCAGGAGGTGCTGTGGTTGGGATTCGAACCAATGACACTAGTACTGCCAGGCAAAAGTGCGAACCACTTAGCCACTGTGCTGCCTGTATTGATGCTATGCTCTGATTAAAAAGTGTTTAATTTTTTGGAGCAACATATATATATATATATATATATATATATACACACTATATTTCCAAAAGTATTGGGATGCCTGCTTTTCCACATACATGAACTTTAATGGCATCCCAGTCTTAGTCCGTAAGGTTCAATATTGAGTTGGCCCACCTTTTTCAGCTATAACAGCTTCAACTCTTCTCTATGCACTATTGTTGTGCTAATCTGAAGGCCACACGAAGTTTGGAGGTCTTTAGCTATTGACTTTGCTGACAGTTGGCGATTCCTGCACACTGTGTGCCTGAGCATGCGCTGACCCCGCTCTGTCATTATACCTGGCCTACCACTTTGTGGCTGAGTTGCTCCCAGTAGCACAGCAACAGTGCGTAGAGAGCTTCATGGAATGGGTTTCCATGACCGAGCAGCTGCATCCAAGCCTTACATCACCAAGTGCAATACAAAGCGTCGGATGCAGTGGTGTAAAGCACGCCGCCACTGGACACTAGAGCAGGCGAAATGTGTTCTCTGGAGTGATGAATCACGCTTCCCTGTCTGGCAATCCAATAGACGTGTCTGGGTTTGGCGGTTGCCAGGAGAACAGTACTTGCCTGACTATGTTGTGCCATGTATAAAGTTTAGAGGAGAGGGGATTATGGTGTGGGGTTGTTTTTCAGATGTTGGGCTTGGCCCCTTAGTTCCAGTGAAGGGAACTCTTAAGGCGTCAGCATACCAAGACATTTTGGACAATTTAATGCACACAACTTTGTGGGAAGAGTTTGGGGATGGCCCCTTCCTGTTTCAACATGACTGCACACCAGTGCACAAAGCAAGGTCCATAAAGACATGGATGAGTGAGTTTGGGATGGAGGAACTTGACTAGCCTGCATAGAGTCCTGATCTCAACCAGATAGATCACCTTTGAGATGAATTAAAGTGGAGACTGTGAGCCAGGCCTTCTCATCCAACATCAGTGCCTGACCTCACAAATGCACTTCTGGAAGAATGGTCAAACATTCCCATAGACACACTCCTAAACCTTGTGGACAGCCTTCCCAGAAGAGTTGACGCTGTTATAGCTGCAAAGGGGGGCCAACTCAATATTGAACCCTACTGACTAAGACTGGGATGCCAATAAAGTTCATGTGTGTGTGTAAAGGCAGGCATCCCAATCAGGGGCGGACTGACCATTTGGGAACTCGGGCACTGCCCGAGGGCCTGGGGTCAGTAGGGGGCCTCATGAGATGCCGTTGGTACCTTTCATAGGCTTTTTTTGGGTGTGGTTTAACCTCCTTAGCGGTATTCCTGAGTGTAGCTCAGGGTAAAATTTGAGTACCAAGAGCGGTAACCCCGAGCTACACTCGGGCTTACCATGCGGTGTTGCTCAGGGAGTCCCTGCAGCACTTACCTTGTCCTTCGCTCCCGCGATGTGTCCCCTGCAGCGTCCCCGGCCATCTCCTCCGGCCGATGCCGGCATCCGTCTTCCGGTCCCTGTGACGTCGGGACGTACGGGCGCCGGAACTGGCGGCAAATTTGAAATTTTTTAAAAATGTCATTTTTTTAAAAATGACTATTACATAGTAAAACATTGCTGTTTCAATGCATTTCACATACATTTTGTCCCTAGTGCTTTGTCCTGTACCCTGCCTGCATTTTTACTGTTCTTTCTGCCTGGAAACTTAGAAAAGTCCATGGCATCCAAAAAGCTTCCCTTTACGTCAAAAGCGGTTTTAGACCAGCTAGAGAACAGCGATAGTAAATCAGAACCACTTGCAGAATTGAGTGATAATGATTCGTGGGGAAATGTGTCATCAGACACTGAAAACGATTTTGCGACTTTGCTCAGCGATGGGCGAATTTACCTCTATATTTCAAATTTCAGTGTTTTTGGTTTGATTATATTATTGAATTAAATTTATTATATTATTATTTTTTATGATTATTTATTAAATTATAATTTATGATTTCGTGTTTCAAATTTTATCCTACCCGGGATGTTTAATAGACTCTTGTTCGGACAGATTTCAGTGAGTTATTCCTAAAAATTACAGCCTACAATAAAATACTACATATTTCCATGCAAAAAAAATGGTATCGTTTTAAGCACAAAAAATCGGAAATAATCAGACCGCCGAGGAGGTTAAGTGTGGGTGAGGACACAGGAGCCCCATGATTCCCTATTTCCCGGGGGCCCCATGAGTTGTCAGTCCGCCTCTGATCCCAATACTTTGGGCAATGTAGTATATATATATACATATTCAGTATATATAGTGGTGGACAGGAGATGCAGAGGCGAGTGGTGGGTGTGGGGTGCATACGTGAGCTGTGGATGGGAGGTAAAGAAGTGAGTGGTGGACAGGGGGTGCAGAGGAGGGACTGTGACTAATGACCCCTGGAAGGGACATGTATTACTACACTTCCAGGGTCACTGCTGTCTTACCTGTGTAGCCAAGGATGCAACTATTCAAATAGTTGCATTGAAGGGCAAGGGAGACATTAAGGGGTTTATTTACTAAAGCTGGAGAGTCCAAAATCAGACTCACTTCTGCATAGAAACCAATCAGCTTCCAGGTTTCATTGCCAAAGCTTCATTGAACAAGCTGAGGTTAGAAGCTGATTGGTTTCTATGCAGAAGGGAGTCTGATTTTGGACTCTCCAGCTTTAGTAAATAAACCCCTAAGAGTCTAACAGAGCCCCAATGTCTGCATAAAAAGGACCTGTGACCTGCCCATGCTATCACGTGTGGAGCCATGGCAATAAAATAAAAATCTTAAAGAAGCGTAAACAAAATTGTACAAAATAAAAACAAATGAAAGCACCCGTGTCACCCGCAATATACAAAGTGCAGTGTAGGGTGAGCATGTCTATGTATACATCGGTTGCGCCTCACATGTGAGGTATTGTCGCGAACGTTGGAGTGAGAACAGTAATTCTGCGGCCATAGTTCACGGTTAGCTCTAAACTGATGACCTGTAAAGGTGTTTTAAAGCATCACTATGGACAACTTTTTTGGTATCATCTTTTCTGCAATTCCACTTTCGTGCGCAATTTTAGGATTTCACATTTGGTATTTATTTATTCAACACAATTCCGTCTTTAATATTTTACCAAAAAAAAAGGTTCTTTTATTGTATTTGTTTGCACTCAGATTAATGTTAGTATTTTTTCCTTAGCCTATGCATTTGATAAATAATTACCACCATTTTATTCACCAGGGTCTTTGCTTTCAGAGACTATATACCATTTGGGGGGTTTACAGTCATTGTTAGCAAACAACGTTGATTCTATGATGTCCACAAAAAATAAAAAAAAACTTCCCCGGTAGACAAGTGGTTAAGCCCCCAAAGATAAAACAGAGTGGAGGGATCTATGGCAAGGGCGGCACATAATGCGGGTGATGGAAGGAAAATGACGTGTCACTCCGGTCACATGACACACCGCAAACACCGCCACACACATCTCTTCTGTAGCACGCTGCCCGGTTTCCGTAGCAACTATCCAATGCCCGCCCTCCTTCTACAAGTTAATTGGCTGAAAGTGGGATCATCCCGCCGCTGGTCACTTTGTACACATGCGTGGAACGCAAGGAGGCTGTGTTTGCTGGGAATAGTAGACATGGCGGAACTGGCTTCCTGAACGAACAGGGGTAAAGGGATAAATTACTTCCGGGGTGGGAGGTGAAAGTTAAGCAAGATGGAAGCCCCTACAGGAGGGATGGCAGGTTTGGGCTCACTGGTAAGAAGTGACGGTAGAGCCGAGTAATGTGTGAGCCGGGAACGGGGGTTCTCTGTACGGTCCTGGGACCACTCTGTGCTCATTATACAGGGGCGTGGCCTGGTAACCTCTTCCCACATGAACACAGCATGGCTGCATTGTGCAGCTTGTATAGCAGACCATAGATATATATCAGGGTGACCGGCTGTATAGCAGACCATAGATATATATATCATCGGGGTGACCGGCTGTATAGCAGACCATAGATATATATCGGGGTGACCGGCTGTATAGCAGACCATAGATATATATCGGGGTGACCGGCTGTATAGCAGACCATAGATATATATCGGGGTGACCGGCTGTATAGCAGACCATAGATATATATCGGGGTGACCGGCTGTATAGCAGACCATATATATATCGGGGTGACCGGCTGTATAGCAGACCATAGATATATATCGGGGTGACCGGCTGTGTAGCAGACCATAGATATATCAGGGTGACCGACTGTATAGCAGACCATAGATATATATATCGGGGCGACCGGCTGTATAGGAGACCATAGATATATATCGGGGCGACCGGGCTGTATAGCAGACCATAGATATATATCGGGGCGACCGGCTGTGTAGCAGACCATAGATATATATCGGGGCGACCGGCTGTGTAGCAGACCATAGATATATATCGGGGCGACCGGCTGTGTAGCAGACCATAGAGATATATATCGGGGCGACCGGCTGTGTAGCAGACCATAGATATATCGGGGCGACCGGCTGTGTAGCAGACCATAGATATATCGGGGCGACCGGCTGTGTAGCAGACCATAGATATATATCGGGGCGACCGGCTGTGTAGCAGACCATAGATATATCGGGGCGACCGGCTGTGTAGCAGACCATAGATATATCGGGGCGACCGGCTGTATAGGAGACCATAGATATATATCGGGGTGACCGGCTGTATAGCAGACCATAGATATAGATATATATCGGGGCGACCGGACCGGCTGTGTAGCAGACCATAGATATATATCGGGGCGACCGGCTGTGTAGCAGACCATAGATATATCGGGGCGACCGGCTGTGTAGCAGACCATAGATATATCGGGGCGACCGGCTGTGTAGCCGACCATGGATATATCGGGGCGACCGGCTGTGTAGCCGAACATGGATATATCGGGGCGACCGGCTGTGTAGCAGACCATGGATATATCGGGGCGACCGGCTGTGTAGCCGACCATGGATATATCGGGGCGACCGGCTGTGTAGCCGACCATGGATATATCGGTGCGACCGGCTGTGTAGCCGACCATGGAGATATCGGGGCGACCGGCTGTGTAGCCGACCATGGATATATATCGGGGGGCGACCGGCTGTGTAGCCGACCATGGAGATATCGGGGGCGACCGGCTGTGTAGCCGACCATGGAGATATCGGGGCGACCGGCTGTGTAGCCGACCATGGATATATCGGGGCGACCGGCTGAGTAGCCGACCATGGATATATCGGGGCGACCGGCTGTGTAGCCGACCATGGATATATCGGGGCGACCGGCTGTGTAGCCGACCATGGATATATCGGGGCGACGGGCTGTGTAGCCGACCATGGATATATCGGGGCAACGGGCTGTGTAGCCGACCATGGATATATCGGGGCGACGGGCTGTGTAGGAGACCATAGATATATCGGGGCGACTGGCTGTGTAGGAGACCATGGATATATCGGGGTGACCGGCTGTATCTGGGTGACCGGCTGTATAGGAGCCCACAGCTACAGGGATTGGACAAAAAAAAAATGAAACCGCTACATGATTTATTATTATTATTATTATTTATGTGAAAGAGACGACATGTTTTGTGTTGAAGGCGCAATTAATGTAACATTCTTTTGCTTCTGCTGTATGATGAGACACCTAGCTAACAGGTGGGAAGCCTCACTTTTGTCATTCACTGTGTGGCACTGCTAGTAATACGGAGTCATGTCAGAGCTTACCGAGCTTCAGAGGGCAAATTGTTGGTGTCTGCTTAGCTGGTGCCTCTGTGACTGAAGTTACCAATTGATTTGCAGTGTCGTGAGGTACAGTATTAAAGGTTATGGCGGCATAAACAGTTTCCGGGAAAACATTGTTGAGCATAAGCGCAGTCAACGTGGTCAACTGACCGAAAGAGACAAAAGGACATTGTGCAGGACTGTGACCTGGAATAGGAAAACAACTGTTGCAAAAGTGACTGCAGAGCTCACTCTGTCTTCACAGGACTGAGACTGAGCTCTGCAGTGACTTTTTCAGTACCGTAATTGTTTTCTTACGCAGTGAATGACAAAAGTGACATACAAAAAACTGGTCACCAACTGGCTTCTTCAACAGTGAACATGGACGTGCATCGCATATGGAATATAAATAGGGCTACCCTGTTCAAGTTACCAGCCTACCCCAGTCTAATAATGGCTTTTTTCAGCAAGGAACATGGATAGGTATCACTTATAAAAGAGGGGGATAATTCATGTGCCTCTACTATGAGGACTCTCAAGATTTATAGAGTCAGGACCACAGATTATCAGGGTGCCGTGATGTGGCTCTGTGGCTTACGTATGTATTTGCAAATGTGTGCTAACGAAACTCCTGTTTTTAAACGCATGTCCTTAGACAGGTTAATTTGGTTTTTGATAGTTGGCTAACTGGCTAACAGATTGAACTGGCTTTCTTATCCCCCTCTTTGATAAGTGATACCTATCCATGTTCCTTGCTGAAAAAAGCCATTATTAGACTGGGGTAGGCTGGTAAGTTGAACAGGGTAGCCCTATTTATATTCCAAATGACAAAAGTGAGGCTTCCCACCTGTTAGCTAGGTGTCTCATCACTTCCACTTTCAATGGGAAACAAGTCGTCACTTTCACACCTGCAAATCAGGTAGTGTTTCCATATTTTTATCTAACTCCTGTATATTGGGGTTACCAGCTGTACAAGAGCCCATAGATGTATCAGGGTTAGCAGCTGTATAGGTGCCCATAGATATATTGGGGTGACCATTTTTATAAGAGCCCATTTTATGCGTGAAGGGAAGAAACCTTCATAATACCTGAGCCCGATCCTGATCCAGCGATGTGCATGAGAGCAGTGTCTCTCCTGGATCTCTCTCTCATTGGCTGAATCACAGCAGCTGGAGCCATTGGCTCCCACTGTTATCAGTCACAGCCGGTGCGGAGAGAGCAGGGGATGGGACTGAGCCATAGACACACAGTGGGGGCTCAGGAGCGAGTATGCACACATTCCCCCAAAGCAAGCAGCCTGCTCTGGGGGCACTCATCAAGGGTGAGGGGCCAGAAGCGCTGGCGGGGACCCGACATGGCTGTCCTGTGCAAAACCAAGTATGATGTTTATTTTAAGAGCTTCTTTTTTTATCAATTACCTAGGTTGATCAGTGCTGCATCATTCCCCCTCTGGCTCAAAGGGTGAGAACTGAATGATCAGACATCACTAATCGCTCAGTTCTCCCTGCCGCTTTGAGCAGAGAGACAGTGACTGTCAGTCACCGCTGTCTGCTATGCCCCTCCAGCACTCACTGGAGCGCTGGGCTGTGGAGGGGGATGGAGCGGCTCGTTGTTCCAGGTGCCAGTTCAGACATCTAGGTGGATCCCAACATTAAAGTCGGGATCTTTCCCCAGCTTGGACCAGCTGAGTGACGTCAGCCGACAGTGGACTTTAGCCTGCTGTTGGTTGAAAACGGGTCACAGGATTGCAGAACGAACTACACTCCTGTGATACACAGAAGTACAGCCAAAACAGCTTTGGCTGAAAAAAAACCCATTTAGAACCACTTTAATCCCTAGGATTGTCAGCTCCATCTAGTGGCCAAAATGCAGTATACTATTCTAAATACATCAATGAGAGTTTATACCGTATTTTGAACACTAGATGGAGCTGGAAATCATAGGGATTACTCTAGTACAGAAATTAGTGGCCAAAATTTATGCAGCCTACACAAATGTGTGTACCCTTCGTCCAATGGATGTTTCATAAATGGACCCTATTTTATAGGCATGGGCCACTGTTGTGTCTAGCAGGAAGCTGGTCCAAAGCAGTGATCTATTGAAGCACCAGCTGAAGGACTGACTGTCTTCATGTGTCATGCCTCTCTCAGTAAATGTATACATGAGCCCAGCACAGTTCCAGTATGGCCATATTTACACCTCAGAGTGTTTCATGCAGTGCATTAAAAATTCCCACTTGTTGCCTGTTTGGTGCTGTTTCAAACAAAATGCACCTTTCACAGGGATGAATAGTAAGTAAGGCATGTAAACTGTGTCTGAAACACAATATGTTAAAGTGCCATGCATGGAAAACGCAGTGGGGTGCATATAGCTTGGTGTCTGTCATACTGAGGAACATTTAGCTGCCAATCAAAAGTGGTGGATCACAAGTCTAGATGAACAGAATGATAAATTGAATGGTAAGTCAATGTATTTAGCTGTTTGACTTCAAGGCTCCATGCACACTAGCTTATTTTTAAGCTCCTAGTAGCTAGTTATGAGCTTTTTATTGCTTTTTTTTGCATTTCTGGGAGTGATCTACCAGCAGAAAAAAATGCTAAACAGCTTTTTTTCCTAGTTTTTTTACCCTACTAGTAGGGATGCACTGAAATTTCAGTGGCCGAAACATTTCAGCCGAAAAACACCCGTTTCGGCTGTTGGCTAAAAACACCCCATTTGGCCGTTGGCCAAAATGGAAAAATAAAAGCACTGATGCAGGTGATGGAAAACCCCAGCCGCTGCTCGTTAGTTCTCAGCCTTGCTTGAGAAACCATCGATCCTGGCGCTGGGCATAGAGATGAGTGAAGGAAAGATGGCCGCCACTCATCTCTATGCCCTTGGAGGACCGGAGCGATGTCACTTCCCGTTCCGGCCATTTGTTTTTTTTTTTTTTTTTAAAGCACTAGATAAATTTTTTTTTTTTTTGCTCTAATGCTTTACATTGTAGAGGAGAGATGTGGGGTCTTACTGACCCCATATCTTTCCATAAAGTGGACCTGTCACTAATTATTTCTATCAGAGGGGATGCATGCATTTCTTGTGATAATAAATGAGTAAAATTTTTTTTAAAGCGACAGTGCAAAAAAAAAAAAAAACATTAAATTAAAAAAAAGTTTAAAGTGCTGCCGTTGCCCTGTGCTTGCACGTAGTGCTGAACACATACGTAGGGCATGCCCACATATGTAAATTTTTGCACTAAACCTCCTCTGTAACTTTACACTGTTAACATGTAGAAATTTTTAAAGCATCACCCATGGAGATTTTTAGGCACCCACACGTGTGCGCAATTTTAAAGCGTGACATGTTGGTATCTATTTACTCACCATATAATCCTCATTCAAAAAATTGAGGTATATATATATTTTTTAATCCGTGTATTTTTTTCTAAAAAAAAAATGTTAATTTTTAAAAACTGCACATTTTGGTTTCGGTTTCGGCCAAGTCGGCCAAGTGCATTTTGAATTTTCAGTTTCAGCACTAGAATTTTCATTTCGGTGCACCACTACCTATAATTACTGTACAAAGGACAATATAACACTTACACTCCTAAATGCTCTTAAACGCTATTACCAGCGTTTTTTTATTTAGCTTTTTTTCCAGTGCTTTTTGTGCTTCCAGAAAATGCTAGTGTGCATGGAGCCTAATGGATTTGTAGATATCACTCATAACAGGAAATAGATCTGGGGGGTGATCCCCATGTATTTAGTTACAGTTCTAGAGATGGATGTAATTAATGAAAATGTACAAATCAAGTAGCTCTAACATGAACGCAAGTTCTTATGGTAAAATCATCACATTTCAAAGCTAAAATATCAAAGCTCATGTATGATTTGTGATACCTGCAAATCAAAGTGTATGTAAACTCATTAGAAGCAAGTATTGGATATGAGCAGTAAATACAACCCTAATAATAACTGGCATTAAAGCTGAGGTGTAGTACAATTTTTGTGGGGCATACAGCACCATTCTAATAATGTACCTCTATTGAATTGTATCCCAGGTCCTGCTGGCTGTAATAATCCTGGTGCTGGATACTCCCCACAGCTGTGATCTTCTAGCCCTGTGTGAATGAGAGTTTGCGGTTGGGAATATGAAGGATCATGCCATTTGATCTCCTCTTCCTTTGCCCTTGGCCTTTCAAAAAAACTTCTTTACACAAGGCATTCTATGAATGGAGGTGGGGTAGATGAAAATAGGACTGCTCTCCTTCATTCACAGAACGCTTTGCATTCTGGGACAATACTTGGAGAATTGCAACTGGCAGAGGGCCAGCAGTGCTATCCTACTTGGTACCAGCCACAGCCTCTCAGTCCCGGAGTGACAGAAGAACACAGCTTTGGGGAGTACCAAGCATCAGTGAGGGTGGGACTATTGCACTAACCAGCAGCTAGCAGGACCAGGGATATGTCTCATTAGAGCAGGGCTTGACAAATTTACTTTGAATCTAGGAGCCAGCTAAAAAAGTTAGGAGCCAATTTTTTTAAGACAACTGCCCAGTTCCTGGGAAGGATAGATAGAAAGATGGAAAGTGTAATTACATTTTTACAGAAAATCAGTAAGGCGACCTCACACTGGACCCCCTCACCCTCTGGAACACCACCCCCTGGTCCCGTTGTACAAGTGTCCCGCGATCCCCTGTTGTCAGACACCGGGATGACGCTCTTCCAGCACTTTCCCATGGCTTTCTCTCCTTCCAGCACTGACATTACAGGCTAGACATATTCTGATTGGTCAGCACCGTCCACTCTGAGATATACGAATAAGAGATTAAGCGGCAGGGATTTCAAATCCCTGGATCAGTGAAGCAGTGTCCCGGTACCTGACAGTGGACTGCTGACAAAAGCCCAGGTGCCAAGATGCAATTTCTAAATTTCTAGTTGCCATGGCAACCTGGTGTCTGGGATTTGTCAAGCCCTTCATTAGTGGTACATTATTAGACTGGTGCTGTGCGCCCTATATAATTATTTAATAGACGTCAGCTTTAATTTGCATAGTTTCTTTAAGTGCAAATACTTTTTTTTTTTTGGTCACATGATGTAGCCCATGTTCCTCTGTACCTCACTGTCCGACAGTGGGGCAGGTATTCCTTTCAGCGTGAGCCCAAGCATTACATGAAAATGCACACCCTTAGCTTCCCTTTAGACATACTGGTGGTGTAGACTTTCTCTGTAATCTGCTGATCGGTTCCTTGATTACATTCTATCTGACCTGCTTCTGAAACACAGGGCACAACTAATGTCTACAACACTCAGTGGCCAGAAGGGAGCACCATACATGTCTTAAGGGATGCCGGGGATGTGTTCTTTCATAAAATGCTTGGGCTTTCTTGAGCAAAGCATGACCTACTCCCCCGAGGGAGAACAGGAACATACACATTGAGTGTGGCAGAATACTGTTGCCATTCTGAATAAGGAAGTAGAGGGGGAAATACCAGGATCAGACAGTTATTTACAATCTAAAAATATAGTAATAAAAGAAACCCAGTAAGAGCAACTCATTTTTAGAGCCAATGACACAAAAAATGTTTAGGTTTACTGACACTTTAATATTTTCGCTTGTTTCTTTTAGGGAGCGACAGAAGCACTGTCAGTGGCTCAGGCACTATCACTGCCAGCAGAATCCTATGGCAATGATGTAAGTAAAGGAACCACACTTTAGGTTTTTCTAACTTTTACAACTGTTGCGTCTGTGTATGTTAGGTCACTTCTGGCTATGAAAGGGGAACATTAAAAAACAAGGTGCAAGCTTGTTGTAAGAGTTCTTGAATTTATTAAAGTGCCCATACAAAGAGGACTCAGATTAAGGGACTCATTACACATACCTTGCTGGGGCCCCAAAGGAGAGTATTGATTCAGGAAGCTCCGCACCCATGAGTTGTAGTGCAGTACATTAAACGTATGAGCTTTGTTTCAAGCCCTCAGAATAACTATAACGTGTTGGAAATCCTTTAGTGCTCTCACAGTGGCTTGTGGGTTGGTGGCTTGCAACTTCAAGTATGGCCACCTTCGGTCTGGTGAGCACTTTACTGGCTTTGTAGCGAGCTCAGGCAGTGCATAACTACATGGCCTTACGTGGAATGTAACCCTAAATCTGATTTTGCATTGCTTACGTGGCCCATTAGATTTTGCCTGTGACAGGATCCCATGTTGTTACTGTCTATTGCTAATGTTACCATCATTATTATTATACAGGATTTATATAGCGCCAACAGTTTACACAGTGCTTTACAACATATAAACTGTATTATGTGCTGTATAACTTCAGAAAATGAAGATGGATCTACTTTTTTGGTAGTATTCTGGTTGACAACTATCTGTGCCAATTTACTGTAAGTCAAGGATTGTAATGCTGGTTGCAGAATCTAAAAGCTGAAAAAAATGCATATCTACTTCAGTATCATGTCAAGTAGTGGTAGATGCTACCATCATTTTGTTCAGTGACTCCGTTTGCTCAGGAAAGCCCTTAGAAGATGCTCACAGGCTGCCATTGCAGACCTTCTGAAAATGCTAGTTGCCTAGCTGTCTGTGGCCTACCTGCTTCGAGTTGGTGACCCATAACAAGCAAGGAGTAAATGAAGTAAGAACTCCTTATCTGTATGCTTGCTCCAGGTCAGTAACTTAGAAAGCATTGAAACCACTGAATTGGCATGACATCTGGGTCCAGGGGCAGACTGACCATTTGGAAACTCGGGCACTGCCGAGGGCCCGGGGTCAGTAGTGGGCTCCATGAGATGCCCCTGGTACCTTTTTCATAGGCTTTTTTGAGTTTAGGCAAGGACACAGGAGCTCCATGATCCCCTATTGCCCGGGGGCCCCATGAGTTGTCAGTCCACCCCTGTCTGGGTCTTGAGATTTCGGGCAAGCCTTTGAAAATGGCAAATATTTCTAAGATTTCCTGGAACATACGGTGCACTCAGGGCTTTTGTTTACCATCCAAATATCTACAGTGAAGGAAATAAGTATTTGATCCCCTGCTGATTTTGAATGTTTGCCCACTTACAAAGAAATGATCAGTCTAAAAATCGAATGGTGGGTGTATTGTAACACAGAGACCGAATAGCAGCAAAAAATTCAAAAGAAATGCATGTCTAACAAATTATGCACTGATTTGCATGTTCATGAGGGAAATAAGTATTTGATCCCCTATCATTCAGCAGGATTTTTGGCTACCAGGTATATTTCATACAGGTAACAAGCTGAGATTAGAAGCAATCTCTTAAAGGGAGCGCTGCTAATCTAATTTTGTTACCTGTATAAAAGACACCTGTCCACAGGAGCAATCAAACAATCAGATTCCAAACTCTCCACCATGGCAAAGACCAAAGAGCTGTCCAAGGATGTCAGGGACAAGATTGTAGACCTACACAAGGCTGGACTGGGCTACCAAACTATCGCCAAGCAGCTTGGTGAGAAGGTGACAACAGTTGGTGCAATCATTCACAAATGGAAGAAACACAGAACAACTGTCACTCTCCCTAGGTCCGGTGCACCATGCAAGATTTCACCTCGTGGAGTGTCAATGATCATGAGAACAGTGAGGAATCATCCCAGATCTATACGTGAGGATCTTGTTAATGATCTCCAGGCAGCTGGGACCACAGTCACCAAGAAAACAATTGGTAACACACTACACCGACAAGAATTGAAATTCTGCAGTGCCCACAAGGTCCCTCTGCTCAAGAAAGCACATGTCCAGGCCCGTCTGAAGTTTGCCATTGAACATCTGAATGATGCAGAGGAGGACTGGTTGAAAGTGTTGTGGTCAGATGAGACCAAAATCGAGCTCTTTGGAATCAACTCAACTCGCCATGTTTGGAGGAGGAGGAATGCTGCCTATGACCCCAAGAACACCATCCCAACTGTCAAACATGGTGGAAACACTCTGCTTTGGGGGTGTTTTTCTGTTAAGGGGACAGGACAACTGCACCATATCAAATGGACGATGGACGGGGCAATGTACCGTCAAATCTTGGGGGAGAACCTTCTTCCCTCAGGAAGGGCATTGAAAATGGGTCGTAGATGGATGTTCCAGCATGACAATGACCCAAAACACATGGCCAAGGCAACAAAGGAGTGGCTCAAGAAGAAGCACATTAGGGTCCTGAAGTGTCCTGGCCAGTCTCCAGACCTTAATCCGATGGAAAATCTGTGGAGAGAGTAGAAAGTTCGAGTTGCCAAACGTCAGCCACCAAACCTTAAAGACTTGGAGAGGATCTACCAAGAGGAGTGGGCCAAAATCCCTCCTGAGATGTGTGCAAACCTGGTGGCCAACTACAGGAAACGTCTGACCACTGTGATTGCCAACCAGGGATTTGCCACCAGGTACTAAGTCATGTTTTGTGATGGGGATCAAATACTTATTTCCCTCGTGAACATGCAAATCCGTGCATAATTTTAGACATGCATTTCTTTTGCACACATCCCTGGACAAGGCAAGAAGTAAGCAGTGCTGCAGAAACTGTCAGTTGAAGACTGGAACCATAAGCCAAAGTATAGGTCACCAGCACATCAAGGATCCTTAAAATAAAGTCCAATTGCTTATTCGGTGATCACAGTGTAAAGTGCAACATTTTGTGGCCATGCAGGACCCCTTCGTCAGGCATGTGATCACAAGGGGTCCTGTGTGGCCTGGAAATGTTTCACTTTTCACTGTGATGTGATCATTAAATAAACTGTTGTCTTTTATTTCAAGAATTCTTGGTGTGTTGGTGACCTATACTTGGGCCACCCTGGGATCATATGTGTGAAAAGTAGCTCTACTCATGGTGTTCCATGGAAGCTTTTATGAAGTGGATGAATCTTCCAGAATGCATGATCCTGGAAGCGAGCAGGGGAGGATGTGACAAGGGATCTAGAGAGCAGAGATTTTGGAAGGAGCAGAGAGGATGGTTTGGGCGATATTTTGAGACAAGATTGGTGATGTAACTTGGGGAAGAGTTGTAAATGGCTATGTAATTGGCTGTATTTTAAAATTGTGTACTCAGCTCAGTGTAGCTGTGCACAAACAAGATGGCTGAACCTGGAAAAAAAGACATTTTGGCAAAGATGAAATGTGACTACCACTGTTGCATCACTAGAGAAGGGCATTTTTAAAGAGTGCCATAATGCCAAATAAGTGGTGGGAGCTTTATACCGGCTTTAAGAGCCAGCGAAGGGCTTTCCAATAAAAGTGATTACTTTTATGGGGCCCTCAAAGCCCCATTTAAAAAAAAAAAACCAAAAATTGCAAAAAAATAAAGATGACTAATAAAAACTTTAACACACCCCCCTCACCCCGGCACACGCGCCATATAAAAAGCACAGCATTATGCAAGCGAGTGTTTGCGCCACACAGGTATCATCACGAACGTCAGTGATAGCAATTCTAGGGCCATAATTCACAGGTAACTCTAAACTGATGATCTGTAAAGGCTGAGAATTTTGGAAGAATTTTGGGCACCATCGTTTTGTTGTTGCAATTCCACAAGCTTGCGCAATTTTAGGACTTAACATGTTCGGTATCTATTTTTTCAACGCATCATCTTTTATATTTTACAAAGAAATTGGATATAATATTGTGTTGGCGCTAAATTCATTTTAGTGTAATTTTTCTTGAAAATATGTATTTGATAAATACCTGCTCAAATATGGCGTGCCTTAAAAAATGACCAGTTTTATTCTCCAGGGTCTCTGCTTTTCGAAAATCTGTACTTTTGGGGGATTTACAATAATTTTAATAATAATAATTTCCAGCTAGTGTCACTAGGTAAATTAGCTTGGATTATGGTTATTAAAGTGGCATTCCCTGTAACGGATCATCAGAAAGGATGATGAATGCAGGTAAATGTGTAGGATTACAATCCTGGACAATAAATGAAATCCATGTCATACGTTCTCCAGATAAATAACCCATACATATGTGGGTACTTTTTAACCTGGTAGAGCTTGTGAGCATCTCCATCGTCTGACTGTATTCCTTTTATTTCTGCAGCCCAATGTGGAGATGGTTTGGGCCATGAAGGCCTATCAGCATGCGGAGGTTTACTTCAATGTAAGTATGGGGTAGTGGCTACACAGATGAGGGAACTCACTGGGAGGTACAACTTTAACTACTTGAAGATTTTAAATGGAAGCAATAAGTCTCACAAAATGCGTCTTTAGGACACCGCTCCAATGTCCAGCTTCTCTTTCCTGTTACCAGCTATTACCGGCTGTCAAAATGCAGCTACTTCTGTGATAAATGTTGCAGATAGTTGACAAGTGTCATTGATTAAATACAGAAAGGAGGATTTATCGAAACAGAAACAGATCTAATTTGGAGTATCTGTCCATAGTAACCAACCAACTTCCATCATCAGCTTGTTCATTTAAACACTTCAAGTCCGGACACTTTCACCCCCTTCCTGTCCAGGCCATTTTTCAGCTTTCAGTGCTATCACACTTTGAATGACAATTGCGCAGTCATGCAACACTGTACCCATATGAATTTTTTAGCATTTTTTTTGAGACAGATAAAACTTTATTTTGGTGGTATTTATTCACCACTGAGATTTATTTTTTTGCTATATAAATGAAAAAGTCCAAACATTTTGAAAAAAAAAGTGTTTTTCTTATAACATTTTCCAAATAAATAATCTTTCTTCATAAATCTTGGCCAAAATGTATTCAGCTATCTTTTTAGTAAAAAAAAAAAAAAAGAAATAACCCAAATTAGTTTTATAACCAAAAATTATAATTTAAAAATTTTTTTTTTTTTAACATTTTTTATATTATTTGTTGCTTTTTTTTTAAACATACTGTCAACCTAGCAGTACAGTGTCACCATACTACTACTCTCTGTACTACTTGTGGGGGGTGATGAAGATTTTTTTTTTTTTACACTGATTGCTTTTACACCCATAAAGGCTGTAAAAGCAATCATTTCTCCTCTCTGGCTGCATTCTTGCAGCCATTGGGAAATACTGTGAGAGCTGTGATTGGTCACAGCTTGTCACATGGTAAAAGGCTGTTGTGAATAGCCTTGCACCATGCGACCTCTGTGATCATTCACAGATTTCACTAGTAGTAAGCAATAATGTCACGAAGTGACATCTTGTTTAGTACTATTCATGTGATCACTGATTGGCCAATCAGTGATCACATGATCGGGACCTCACACAGATCAGGAAGCAGGCACAGGCAGTGAATGTGGAGGCCGTTTATAAATGGCTACCCGCTCCTGCACTGCTCCCGTCCGGCCGTTTATGTACATGGGCCAGATGGGAAGTGGTTAAGCTTCAAAAATTAAAGGTAGAAGCTGGATAACAGATTGCTGGATGCCAGACTGCTGCAGTCTTAGTCCCTTCAATATATGAATGTATTGTTTCATTATATTTACTACTTCATTCATATGTAGACCAAAGGTGTGACCTTTGATCTGCATATGACATCACTTAGGGGTCTGTGTATAAAAGTTTACTGAACAATTGTGACAGTCATTGCACAGCTCTAAAGACACCTGCCGTATTCTGTGCAATGTATTATTTGCTAGGATTGTAATCACCGTCTAGTGGCCAAAATGCTGTTTTTTTTTTTTTTTTTTTTTTTTTTTTTTTATGCCTCAATAAGAAAAAAAAAGGATAATGGCCACTAAATGGTGCATACAATCATAGGAGGTAATCATATTACACAGAATATGGCAAGTTGGAATTGTATGGATATTGGTCACATTTGTTCAGCAAACTTTAAAAAAAAAAAAAAAAAATCTTACAAGTACATTTTTTTAAAATAACATGTATACTTAATAAACCCCATATTAACCCTTGGTTAAATGCCAGTCAGCCCCAACTGAAGTGTTACTAAACCCACAACAGTAAATTCAGTCTGTATATGCAGTAAAGCATGCTTGTTATACTCACTGTGGAACCTAAGGGGTTAATCCTCCACATTGTGTTAAAAGGCTCTTTGATTCTGTCTTCTCTGATTCTCCCCTTCTTCCATTGTCCCTGACTCATCTTCTGATAGAACTGAGCTTTGGGGGCAAGCTGCACATGCTCAGTTTGGTGTATATTTCTAGAGAGTTCTCATAGGGGAGAATGAAAACCCCCTCCTACAAGCTTTAACCAGTGCTGCTCTAATTGCTGATGAAAAAAGGTATTTAGCAGTTTATATTAAAAAAATTGAATTTCCATGTTGTGTGTACTGTGGGAGACCAGATATAGTGAATGCAGGGTCCTGGGTTTAGTAACGCAAACTATTTTCTCTGTGTTTTTATTATTTTTATGCTTGTGTTTTGGGGGGGTCTACTTTTTTTATCGTTGATATATTTTTTTGTTTTTTAGGTGTTTTGCCTGTTACTTTTTTCAGTGTCACATAAACACTTTCAGTTGGTGATTTGTTTTGAGAGCCAAACATTGCATTTCTCAAAAGAAATCTTTTGAATGAATGTACTTTCTAATAATCTGTAGACCCCCAAATCTTATTTCTTTGTAAAAGCAACACAGGACACAGGATTTTCAGTATTTAACTATATGATATTTACTGCTACTTTCAGGTGATTGGACATCGGCACAAAAAAATGTAAACTTGCAGGGACTTCCATTATATCACCCCTCCCACTCCCAACTCATTAACACTGTAATGTACATGGAGGAGGTGGGAGTGCGACCACTGGCCGTTATGTCTCACTGAGGTGGCTGTGAGGAACCTGTCACAGTGCTGGAGAGCCAGATCAGGTTAAATTAATCTGGCACCCCTAGATTGAACGAACATTTACATATTGGGAGAGGCCCCATTGCAAGGGTGGATCGTTTCATGTTCCTGGAGTTGGTAAATAAAGGCAAAACTTTTTTTTTTACTTTTCGATAGAGTGGAGAGGAATTAGAACACCTGTCAGGTATCTCTGCCCCTATTAGGGAGATTCATCCTATTTTTCTTGTTTGCCATTATCAAAAGTGAAAGAAAATCCAAAATTTTAGGTTAAATATCAGAACATTAATAAATGGAAACGCTTCCAATGGGGACACAAGTTCTGGTGACGCACCGGAATTCCCTCACTTTTGAAAGGATTTTCTCTCACTTCCTGTTTTGGCTATAGGACAGGAAGTGAAGGGAAATCTCCCCAATGGGACAGAGCTTACACAAAGCTGTGGGGAGGGTTATAACCCCTGTAAGCTGCCAAAAAGCTTACAGGGGTTATAACCCTCCCCACTCTACTGAAAACATAGTCTTTAGTTACACTTTAAGTTCTACCAGAACGTAATGTGAGATTCAAGAATAAGGTGCTACAAGGCTACTGTCCGAGTCTGTTGAGCCTTTAAGATCCATTGCTATGTGGGCTTGTTGGTGTTTGTTCCCTGTGTTGCTCAGCCCTTAGTTGGACCCTCATGGTTGACGTTCCATCGTTAAAGGCTAAAGATCCTGTGTTTTGTACTGCATGACTAAGAAAATGGGATATTTGACTTGCCAGTAAAATCAGTTTCTTGGTGTACAGTACATGATATAGGGGCACCCATCTGTTCTTATGATTTCTCTAAAGAGAGAAAGAACACCCCAAAAAAAAGTCTAGCTGGGGGTTGTTATATAGGGGAAGACCCTGCAGCTTTTTTTTTTTTGCCAATGGCCGATGTAAACACGTATGTCTAACGTGTTACTCCTATGTACTACCACGTGTTAGTGAAAAATCTGTTACATACTGGCCTTGGGTGGTGGAGTTAGTTTGCTGCTTGAGCACATTGGTTGTGCACGCTCTATATTTGTGTGTATGTGTAATATATATAGTATTCTGTATTTGTGTGTGGATATAGATTGCTTGTAACACCATGTGTGTTTATGTTGTTCCCTTGCTAAAGAAGGCTTGCATGTATCCAAAACATTGGACTTGACATCTTAAAGTGTTATTAAATCCAGGACCTTGTATTCAGTCTTCTGACTTTTATCAGTGTCCAGCAGAGCACTGGTTAAAAGCTTGTAGGAGGAGTTTTCTTTCTGCTCTAGGAGGATGCAGAACCCCTGACCTCTGTCTGGACCATGCTGATTGGCCCTGTGCTGATCACATGCGCACTCTTAAGAAAACAAAATACCTCTCCAGCCATACACACTAAACTAAGCATATGCAGAATGACTCCACAGTATATGTCCTATCAGGAAATAAGAGGGGGACAATGGAAGAAGGGGAGGATTAGAGAAATCAGGATCAAACAGCCTTTTTACACAATGCAGAGGATTTAACCCCTTAGGTTCCACAGTGAGTATAACAAGCACGCTTTACTGCATATACAGACTGATTTTACTGTTTTGGGTTTAGTAACACTTTTGAGGCTCCATGCATACTGGCTTAAAAAGACCCCGTTCTTAGAGGAGTTTAGTGTTTTGACTGTAGAAGCAACTAATGTTATCCTATGTGTCCATGCACATTGGGTAGACTAGAGGCGGTTTTTTTAAGCTCAGTATTTAGAGACACAAAAAAAACCACCTTCTGTTTTGTGCATGGAGCCTCAAAGTAAATTGCACAACAACCTGCGTGGTATGGCCTCTTCTTCCACTAAGACATCTCTTGCCCATCAGCTTATAGGTTCTGTGGACCCACGTCACCTAAAACTGACGAAAAAAGATGATGTCATTTATGCAGCATTTAGAGGTGATTTTCCTGAGCTCTGTATTAATGTTCTGGATCCAGAAAATCTGAAATCTCCAGCAGCCAAAGAGGTAAGGTGACAAACAGCATAGCACAAAGCAGTGTTCTGGAAGCAGGTTGCTATATCCTCTCTTATGGTTATCCTTTGGCAGAAATGGCGGCCTTTCTGCATGAAATTTGAACACGAAGTAGAAGACTTTAATTATGGAACATTGTTAAGACTGGACAGCAGCAAAGAGTACACTGAGGAAAACACCATCTTCGGTAAGTGAAAATGAAACCCGAACCACTCCACTAGCAGGACGTTTCTGTAACCAGTGAAGGAAAACAAAATACTAATATTTTATCATATGTTCTAGTTTGGGAGTCTAGATACATGGAAGATCTACTATGCAGATTATTTTAACCACATAAGGACGGCCCTATAGCAGATATACTGCTACAGTGCGGCACCTATGCGCAGAATCACATGTATATATACACGTGATTTTGCACTTCCGGGTAGGGGGCGCGTGCGCCCTACCCGCGCCACCAATCGCGGCTGCGGATTTCAATCACTGGGTCCGGCTGGTAATTACCCGAAGGCACCCGTCGATTACTGAGCATCTCCAACGGGGAGGAAGATTGTTTTGTTTACAAACAATCTTCCTCCCTGTCAACTCAAGCACACTGCTCAGGATGGCTGTGCACAGTACAGCCATCCTGATCAGTGTGCTTACAGTGAACAACGCTCCCTGCCCCCTAGTAAGACACTCCCAGCAACACCCTTTGATCGCCCCTCAAATTAACCCCTTCCTGCTCTGTGACATTAGTACAGTGTGTTGTGTTTTTTTTAGCACTGATCACTGTATTGGTGAAATTGATACCAAGTTAGTTCCCCCCAGTGTTAGAATGTCCGCCACAGTCCCGCTAAAAGTCGCTGAGCGCTGCCATTACTAGTAGAAAAAAAAAATCCCATCATCTATACCGCCATTTGTAAATGCTATAACTTTCACGTAAACCAATTAATTTACACGTATTGGGATTTTTTTAAGCAAAGACATGTAGCAGAATACATATTGGGCTAAATTTATGACAAAATTAGATTTTTTTTTTACTGGACATGTTTAATAGCAAAAAGTCCAAAATATTGTTTTTTTTTTTTCCCTCAAAATTGTCAGCTTTTTTTTTGCTTATAGTGCAAAAAATAAACGCACAGGCGATCAAATACCACCAAAAGAAAGCTTAATTAGTGGGAAAAAAATACGCAAATTTCATTTGGGTGCAGCGTTGCATGACTGCGCAATTGTCAGTTAAAATAACGCAGTGCCGTCACGCAAAAAATGGGCCTGGCCATGAAGGGTAAATCCTCCGGAGGGCAAGTGGTTAAATTGCCAGTGTGAGACTTCTAGTTTCTGCTGCAGTGCAGGCATCACAAAAGGCCACTTGCTTGGCACCTCTTCCAATCAGAATGCAAGATGTTCTGTGATTGGAGCAAGGAGATGTTCATCCCCACCTCCTCCATTTACAGAATACATATTGTGATGTAGTATAGGCTTTACAGCTACAAGGCGTGTTTTATGTAAATAGAAATTTTGCCCAAAGAAAATAACTTTTAAGCCTGCCCTAGCCCTATATAGCAAGTTACCCATTTCAACTTCTCTATAGAATTCTGTTGCACAAAGAGAGCTGGAGAATCTTAGTATAAGCTTCTCAAATGGGTATATAGTTTACAACATCCAACATGGCATGAATAAGACGTAAGCCTTTAAAGCAGAACTCCACCCAAAAGGAGATTTTACACTTGTCTGCCCCTCCCCTCCCATGTGGCACTTTTTGGAAAGTGGAGCGAGTACCTGGTTTTGACCTGATCTGAGTCGTAAGTTCGGCCCTCCTCCTAACCTCTGCAGCCTTTTGGGACACTTCACAGGTCCCAGAAGACTGTGGCCCATTCACAAAGCGCAGCACGCTTCACACATGCGCAGTAGCAAACTGGCTGTGAAGTTGCAAGGCTTCACTTCCGCTTTCCCTTACTGAAGATTCTGGTACCAGCACCTGAAGCCGATTGAAGAATCGGCTCAGGTTAGGACATTGCTGGACTCCAGAGACAGGTAAGTCCCCTTATCTTAAAAGTCAGCAGCTACAGTATTTGTAGATGCTGACTTTAATTTCTTTGGGGAAGCCTGGAGCACCACTTTAAGCAGAAACTGAAGAGTCGGTGCCTTAGACCCCTTTCACCCAGGCATCATCTGTTCAAACATGTCTGCTAAGAAAAAAAAAAAATGGATTCAGTTTATATCAGTTAACATCCATCTTCTGTTTAGTTCAGTTTACATGTTTTTCATCCACTTCCATTTTTTTAAAGGGAACACAATAGAGACTTGTTCTGTTTAAAAAAAAAAAAAAAAAAAAAAAAAATGAACTTGAACGGAAGTGGACGAAAAATGGAAGCTATCCGTTTACCCATAGGAATGCATTGTTCGTCAGTTTTTCATCCGTTAGTGGATGGATGAAAGACTGACAGGTCAGAAAGCCCATGTGACAGCAGTTTGTTTACAGCTGGCCACTCATAGAGCAGAGCGGGCTCTGTCTGTATCCGCTCTGCGGAAACTAAGACACAGATGTGTCATCCACCCCGTTTGCAAGGGGCTATATGTTAGAATATAACCCATAGGAGAGGAACAACGTGATTCTTTAAACGCCATCAGATAGCGTACCCTAATGAATGATATAGAAATATGAATTCCTCACAGGACCTGGACATGTTTCTTCAATTGATCAGCTAGGTGTTTTCTAAAGTCAGGGTTTTAGCAGGAAATGACTGTTATTAGTGCAAAGGTACACTTGTCATAGGTAATATGGAGCTGCCATTGCTAGCCTCACTTTTGCAAATGCTATTTGCCTGTTTTGTGAGTTGTTGACCTGGAGCATGTGCAATAAAAAAACAAAGTTAGAACTCTATACTTCATAAAAGTGACCCAGAAAGTACAGAAGTCAAAGCATCATTATGACAGTGGGGAAAATATGAAGTGTTGCAGTACATCGGATTGTTCCACAACATTGATGTAAAATACCACCTACCAGTTTCAAAATATTTATTGAAAACCATTGAATATTTAATCTGAATTGTGAACAGTTCTCTGACACACATTGTAGATATTTGTTCGACTGATTAGGAGCAACTAATAAAATTTCACCAGGGTGAATTGACAGAGAACTCACTAAATTGATTGAATGGAAGGCCTGTTGGTTTTTTATATTAATATATGATCAGTTTAGTTGTACCTAGGGATCATATTGATATGTGTGTGACCACCAAAGTGTGTTGAAAGAGGCAAAGAGCCCTGAGATACATGTAAAAAGCAAACGGCCGACTTAAAACAGAACTACTGGAAAAACAAATATTGTCCAAATACATGGTGTGTGTATTGTTAGTTGAATCATGATGTGATTTTGTGTATTTCCTTGACATATGTACAGTATTTCAACATGAAAAAACTCCTGTATTAAAAAGGAAAAAAACTAGGTGTGGGGGTGACTGATCTTGTATCTGCTCCCTCCTGTAGTTTTCTGCAGACCACCTGTAATGGAAGGGGCCTGCTGGGTGCTCCCACAGCTCTGCTTAGGCTATGAAAAGCACAGTCCTGATGTTGCTGCTACTTTTACCAGGTAATGTCCTGGTATGCTTTGTGTGCATAAAATGACTATGGAGGAATATGTAAAAATTAGAGTTTAGCTATAACTTCCACTTTTCATACAACATATCCATGTTAGCCCTGGTTCATATATACATGTAAATTGGATGCGTTTTGAACCGCATCAGATTCATATGGATTTCTATGCAGCCGGTTCATATATGTTCGGGCCAGCCACAGTGAGTGTCCACAAAAAGTCCAGTACGATTTTCAGGTGCAATTTACACTTGACAAATTTGCACCTGAATCAGTGAAGAAACCCACATCCGACTTCTTTGACAAATCACACTGAAACCAGCTCCGCACATACACCATATTGCCAAAAGTATTGGCACACCCCTCCAAATCACTAGATTTAGGTATTCCAATCAACTCCATGGCCACAGGTGTATAAAAGCAAGCACCTAGGCATGCAGACTGCTTCTACAAACATTTGTGAAAGAATGGGTCACTCTCAGGAGCTCAGTGACTTCAAGCGTGGTACCATGATAGGTTGCCACCTGTGCAATAAGTCCATCCGTGAAATTTCCTTGTTACTAAATATTCCACGGTCAACTTTTATTCGTGTTATAACAAAGTGGAAACAACAGCAACTCAGCCACAAAGTGGTAGGCCACGTAAAATGACGGGGTCAGTGCATGCTGAAGTGCACAGTGAGTAGAAGTCCCCAACTGTCTACAGAGTCAATAGCTAAAGACCTCCAAACTTCGTGTGGGTCTTCAGATTAGCACAACAGTGTGCAGAGCTTCCTGGAATGGGTTTCCATGGCCGAGCAGCTGCATCCAAGCCTTACATCACGAAGTGCAATACAAAGTGTCAGATGCAGTGGTTTAAGGAACGCTTCCACAGGACACCAGAATAGTGGAGAAGTGTTCTCTGGCGTGATGAATCACGCTTTTCTGACTGGCAATCTGATGGACATGTCTGGGTTTGGCAGTTGCCAGAACGGTATTTGCCTGACTGCATTGTGCCAAGTGTAAAGTTTTCGTGGAGGGGGGATTATGGTGTGGGGTTGTTTCTCAGGGGTTGGGCTTGGCCCCCTTCGTTCCAGTGAAGGGAACTCTTAAGGTGCCAGCATTTTGGACAATTTCATGCTCCCAACTTTGTGGGCACAGTTTGGGGATGGTCCCTTCCTGTTCCAACATGACTGCATACCCATGCACAAAGCAAGGTCCACAAAGACATGGATGAACTTGACTGGCCTGCACAGAGTCTTGACCTCAACACGATAGAACACCTTTGGGATGAATTAGAGTGGAGACTGCGAGCCAGGCCTTCTCATCCAACATCAGTGCCTGACCTCACAAATGCGCTTCTGAAAGAATGGTCAAACATTCCCATAGACACACTCCTAAACCTTGTGGACAGCCTTCCCAGAAGAGGTGAAGCTGTTAAAGCTGCAAAGGGTGGACCAACTCAATATTGAACCCTACGGACTAAGACGCCAATAAAGTTCATGTGTGTATGAAGGCAGGCGTCCCAATACTTTCGGCAATATAGGGTACGTGAACCTAAGCTTAGGCTGGTTTTCCATTCATGGACGATGTTCTGTAGTTGTCATCCTGAGTTGCATGTAAATAAGGCACAATGTTTAAGGCTACCTAATCACCTTATGCTGTGAATGTTGGTTGTCATGTTGATCCTGTAGCTACAATACTGTGTTACTCACACAGATAGCTTTACTTCATTTTCCATATACGTCTTCCAGGCTAGTGACTAACAAAGGATTGAAGAGAGAGATAGCCAGTATACTGACATTTTCAGAAGGCAGTCAATAACAGCCAGCCTTCATAGTTCTTAGCTCAGTTCTTGTTTAATGCTGTTTCATAGCAGTAAGTAAAAACACTGCTTCAATTATAAATGATTGTGTGTAAAGGTTAAAGGGTAACTCCACTTTGATGAGAAAAAAAATAACATATAAAAGAAAATAGTGTATACAACTACAACTCAAGTCATATTGTAATTGAATGTTAGGGCCAGTTCACAGCACAAAAACTCAAATGTGTTCCGGATACGTTTGCTTACAGTTCACACCACACTATGTTCCAGTGTGTTTTGCTGTGTTCTAATACAGTTGTTTTTTTTCTGCTGCACCGGAAACTGACTGCACTGGTGTGAAGTAGGGTCACTGGAACAAATGGAAAACACTGCATGCATTATTGATGTACAAAAATAAAAACACACTGCACCTGGTGTGACCAGCCCTTATTAAAGGTGACCTTTCCTTTTCAATTTGCAGCACTGTAATTTTCTGTGAAATGCAGTATATGGCTACCTGGAAGTGTTCTGTACACAGATGGGGTGCAGAACAGCCCCTGAAAATATAATTTCATGCTTGTGCGATTGGCTCACTGATTTCCCCGGAAAGCTCAGTTACGATACAAGTCAGAGTTTTGGAAATTCCCTGCAACAAAAATCTAATTTTTGGCGAAATACTCCTGAAAGGAAATCATGCCTAAGGGCCTGGTCACACCGGGGGCAACTTGCCCTGTGAGTTTCAAATCGCATGGCAAGTCACACCCTATTGTCCTCAATTAAAGTGGTCCTATTAGTGTGATTCCAACCTGGTTGGAGCGGCTCCGCTTTCTAAAGTAGTGCATGCAGGCTTTGCTGCACTTGTTATATGATAATCCCTTGGCTCAGGTCTCCATTAAAGGCTACAAATCTTCTGTATTTCCAATCCGAAGAAGCGCCAGATAGGGCTGTCCATTATCTAATCTCCTTTTTGCGCTGGCAATTGAGGCTATGGCAATTCACTCTCATCCCCAAATCTATGGCGTTTGTTGCAGACAACAGGAACATAAATGTGCCCTTTTTGCCAATTATGTTCTTATGTATATTCTCCTATGATAATGATATCCCTAATTTACTGTTACGCCAATTTTCCGCTCTTTCTGGGCTTTTTTAATTCTCAAAAAAACAACAGTCCTTAATGTTTCCGTATTCATGTTTGAGGAACAACAACTTCGCGCTTCCTATGATTTTCAATGGGTAAGTCGTTACCTTATTTAGGGATACATCTCACCGCTTCAATGGAGACGCTATATCAAGCTAACTACCCTCCCCTCTTTAAGACACTCACCAAGACGATCTTTGCCATTAGGCAGACTATTCTTTATCATGGTTTGGCAGAGTCAATTCAATCAAAATTATGGTTTTACCCAGATTGTTATATTATTTCCGGACTTTACTGGTGTCGATTCAGAGACGAGAATTACAGCATTTACAAGCTGAGGTCCTGTTTTATTTGGAATAATAGAAGGCCTCGGATGAACCAGAAGACGCTGTATGCTCCCAGACCATGGGTTGGTGTTGGCTTCTCTAATCTCCACATGTACTTCCAGGCTGCACAAATTGCCCAGTTGGCTTACACCACCGCTGGGGGAGATATTCCCCTTTAGGTCTCTATCGAACCTCTCTTGTCACCCTCTTGCTGTCAGGGTGTTGCTTTGGCTTCCTAATCGCTTGCGCCCTCCTATACTGTGCCCCACTCGGTCGTTTTGACAGTTTGGGATAGGGTACGCTATTGGCATCTCCACATTTTCAGATATAACCTGATTGTCTCATTTTTCCGCTCAAAGCTTGCTTTATTGGATGCGTGCCTTTGAAGTTTCTTGCCAGAATAGGGATTCTCCACAAAGCTGTATCTCCGCAATATATGCTCTCCTCACTGATCTGCTCTGTAAACTTCCTTATATGGAGCACTGGGAAAGAAATTTGGCTGTCAATTATGAATAATTGGATTGGCAAGATATTGCTTTGGCACTATCAAAAATTTCTATCAATACTACCCTAATTGAAGCAAATTATAAAACTTTGTTGAGATGGTATATGGGTCTCACTTGCATTGCAAGGATGCATCTGTCTGCTTCTGCGATGTGTTTTCGACGTTGTGGCCTAGTGGGGGGGGGGGGGGTCTATGTATCACATCTGGTGGCTGTGTCCAATTGCAACTAGATTTTGGATTTGCATGTTTAATGTGGTAAACTCAGTGACGGGAGTAAATCTACGCCGATCCCCGAAGACAGTGCACTTTCAGAAATTCCCTGATAATGTTCCGATAAGCTGATCTACACGTTTCTGGCAGCGAGAATCACAATATCTACACATTGGAAGCAATCGGCTATTTCACTTGCTTATGTTAAGAAGAAACTAAATTGGATTTTGGTTAATGACAAGCTCACCTGTATCCTGCAAAATACTTTAAAGAAATTTGATAGCGTATGGAACCTGTGGATTCATTACATCTCCCATCTCAACCTTCACTTCCACTCTTTGCTTTATCTTTTCCTTTCCCCTATTATGTATAGTTTTTATATATTGATGAGGTGAGATATACTTACTCTCGTTTTGGTTGTAATAAGTGCTTTGCCTTAAACCACCAGTTGTTCATGGTACAATTTGTTGTTCTTAGTGTCCTATATTTGTGTGTATGATGGTACACTGTTTCTTGTACTAATTGTAAAATTATTAAAAAAACCATTGGAAGTAGTGCATGCACTAGTTCAGGACATGTCTTGCAAGTAGGAATGACATCTGACTTTGAAATCATGCGACGTGACTGGGCACTTAAGGGGAAATAGACCTTGTCAATTTCCTCATTTAAAGCCCTGCGGGTGCAGCAGCTGATTGATAATTACAAAATTACTCAACACATGGACAGACAAACAGCTATTTCTTCAGAATAATGAAATGTAGGAATCTGCAACAAAAGTGGAGTTACTCTTTTTAAAAAAAAAAAAAAAAAATCTTATGTAGTCAAGGGGCCGCAGTAGATATATTAACCCCCCCCCCCCCCCCCCACAAAAACCACTGTACAGCTTTGAAATTGTTCTTTATTTTTGTCATAGCTGTAGGACAGTTAGTTCTGTTTCAGTTACAACACAGGACATGGAGGGGGTGCTAACGGGGAGTTCTTCAGTTAGGCTTACAGATGGGCCAAATGGCCTACAGGCATGACAATAAAATGAACATTCTACAAAGCTGCACAGTGAAATATCTATAGGGACCCCTCGACTACATAGGCCATTTTCTGAAAAAGATGAATATTGCCTTTTAAGCGCCATTATCCATAACTTAAGTGTGAGAGAGTAATGCCATTTTTACATATTGCTGTAGAGCAGCCTTAAAGTGGTTAGAAACCTCAGTGCTCAAAATTGAAACAAGTACACACTATAGAAAGATATGCTTTGTTCAGATTTCTAAGTGTCATTTCTATCTGCTGCTTCATTCCTCTATCACCATGAATAATTTCTGCCAAGCTTTCCAACAGCAAGAGACAAATAGTGAAAGGGGAGGGATCTCCAGTAGATTGACAGCCTTGGCTCTGTTCCTGTGAGGTGTATCCTTTTCCATCCATCTTTATAAATTCATCACAGATATAGAGAAGAATGCTGATAGGAAAGTACATCTTATGCAGGAGGATTTGTGTATCACCTGCCAGTCATATCACTGGGTGTATGATGATGATGATTGGGGGGGGGGGGGGGGGTGGTGTTTACAACCACTTTATAAGAAAACTGAGCTACAGCATGGTGGTCATCACAGGTGTTTGTACTGGATTAAAAGAGACATGGGTTATCAATATCTATTGTCAGACCCAGTGCATGCATATGATTTCAATGCAGACAAGGACTGTGGGCAAAGAAAACATTGCTGAGAAGACCAGACAACGCAAACTGGGCCCTCTGCATAGTTGTGGTATATGCGCTTCTGTTAAAGTAAATCGTTTGAGTAAAATATGGGAGTTGCTTTTGGAAACCTCAGTCCAAACCTAAGCCACTGACTTGGCATAGCATTAGTGACAGCCAGAATTTTCAAAAGGTGGTACTAGTAGGCTGTTAGGGTATTTGTTAAATCTGGGAGTTGTATTAAGGTTGCAGTTATCCTGTTGGCTAGGTTGGTGACATCAATGAGCCTGATCTGGATCAAATTTGCAGATAATCTAACTTTTCTAATCTGCATACGTGTGTAAGGTCCACAGTACACAACAGCCAAAGAACTAGCACCCCCTCAGAATGGCAGCTCCTATATTTCTTCTATTGTAGGCTTTATGTTAAAGGTTGTATTGCTGTTTTAACATTTAGGATATAGAAGCCAGGCGTCACTTTTATTAAAATTTAGAGGTTTTCTTGTCTTCTAGCCACCCGGATCCAATTCTATGCTATAGAAATAGCACGGAACAGGGAGGGATACAACGATGTCATCTTCCAGCACAGAGCAGCAGAACCTGTGAAATGAACCATGAACAGGACTAATGACACCAAGCTGCCAGCAATCCCAATTCTACTGTTTCACCCTGGACACACTCATGGAAGAGCAATCCATTACCCAGCAGGCTCTTGCTGCCTTGTGTCACAATACCAATTAACAAACAATTCAGTTTTATTTTCTGCAGTTTCCACTATACACTCATTTGGCAAACAGTAAAATACCCAGAATTCATTGCTGTCAACACAGACATCTAAACCACCTCAGAGCCAACAAGTGCCGAACAAGAGTATTTTTTTTTTTTTTTTTTTTTAAACATTTTTCCAATAAAATAAAATACATGTATATCTACACCTCTCTTGCTTCCATATGTGACTGAATAGTTGCCTCAATCCTGTACATATTAATGCATCATTATTTGAACAAGTTTGCGCCCTAAAATGGCAAAGCAAGCCCATTATGTGAGAACGTAAAATATTTGTGACAAATTCCTCTCACAGTTCAGCAACAACCCAAAGGCTATTGAACAGAGTTCAGTTTGCCAAAGCTTATAAGTGCCATATTTCAAGTACCCCCCCCCTGCACAAAGCCAGCCATGTTGTCATTTGAACCTGTAATCTTAAAATCCAACCCAGGCCTGGAGAGAGGAGAGGAATTGTTAAAACCTGTCAAGAATGTATTACTGTTCACATTCCCATACCAGCACCCATCACTGGGCCAGGGACTAAAGGAACAAGAATCTAATGGGTACCTTTCCATGTTAGAAGAAGTATGTGATCTGTCTGATATTGTCACACAGAAATGTCACAAACCCCCCCCTTTGGTGTATAAATCAAAAAGGAACAAATGCCAGACCAAAATAATGTGTCAACACCGCTTTAGGCTTCACGCACACTGGGCAGTTCCTTTTCTCTTCTGAACAACAGAGCTCTTGGCAGGGGAAAAGCTGTTTAAAATACACATCTAAAGCCACCTATCGCACTCATCTTTGGGCATTAATGGGTCCAATGACCAGAATATTCATTTAGGCCAGCCATTGGATGCACAATAGATACATCTAGCATTTATTTCTACAAAAAAAAACTAACTTCCTCATCTGAATGTGCTAGTGATTTTTTTTTTTTTATTTATTTTCCCTGTAATTGCTCATGTGTACATAGATACACAGACTAACAGAGATGCAAAGATGATTCACAAAACAAACCCCACAATGCATTACAAGGGTCAGACAACCTCACCCTTCCTCAGTGCTTGCAATGGAGTAAGAAATCTAAATGGAGAGACTGCTATATCATCCAGTAGCAGCTGCATTATTGGTCTTAGCGACTGATTAGTGTTCCAGCATTATCAGTACTGGGTACAGTTCAAAGTCTCTCCCTGAGTCTGTTTAGATTTTTTTTTCTTCACTTCAAGCATCAATGACACCCAAAACACATTGCCTGTATTTTGCTGTATGGACTCCATATTACTGACATATTAGTCTGGTGCTCATTTCTTGGATTCATACACTGAGTGGAGCTCAAGGTTACCCCTCCAGTGGATGTCTTATTTGTATGTGAACTGCCTAACCCGAGAGCTCTTTGAATGTGTGAGTTTTTTTTTTTTTTCCCCCTCTCCCCCCCACCCCTTGCGTTGGGGCTAGTGAAAGGCAACGGTGATTAGTGGGGTATGACCTATAATAACATCCAAAATCATGCCAGGTTAACAATTTGTTTTCAGCCACCAAAATGTGCTTTAGCCATGGCTGTAATTTCTCTTCAAATTTATTTAGCCCACTCTCAATTTACCTGAACTACCACTGGCATGTGCCCAATTCTGTTTCTACAAGTCATACTTGTATCTGTCAGCCTTGCAATGCTTCATGGGACTTCTAGTTTGGCCACCAGTTTTACAGCTGGTGATGGCATTTCCTCAGGGTGGCAAAAAGTGTAGAACATATACAGACATAAAAAGTAGTTAAGTGCAATAATGTCATGAATCCAGCTTCTAGAAGGAACTGATTCAGATGTCTACAGAAAGCATCTCAAACTACTTGCAACATGTATTGTTACCTTGAAGCAAGCAATTTCAATTCCTGATGAAAAATTAAATAGAATCTGCTGTGATTTCATGTTTTAGTCCATTCAATATCAAAGTGTTTCAGCATTAATATAAATGCTATGATTAACACTGGTACATACATACCAGCCCTAAATTGGTTTGATGAAGTTATTTCTCTAGCAGTGGTTGTATTTAGCAACCATAGCCAATTTATCTTTCACTCTTAGTCACACAGCAGAAAGAAGCACAATGGCAGATACAGCAGCTTTACAATGGCAACTCCCTTCTTGGTGTATAGTCTGTCACCCATCTATTCCAGGCACTGAGCTGACTACCACTACTATCTGTAAGGAATAAACAAATACTTTTTTTTTTTTTTTTTAGGATCTCCTTCTGAAAATGCTAGATGCCTAACCCTCCTGCTGAGTGAGTGATCCAGAACAAGACCAGTTCTGCCTTCACTTGCAGCATTCCTGATCTAGGTCAGTATTAAAGCCAAAGACATCCAGCATTTTAATTTACTGAACCTGATAGAAAAATATAGGACCTTCCTTTTTAGCTCCTGAAAATGCTAGATGCCTGGCTTTCCTGCTAAAATTGACATTCAGGCAACTAACTGTACTGTTCCCTACACTGTAAAACTAAGGCAGTATAATCGGTATACGGACCAGCCCTTTCACAGGCATAATACACAACGTGACCTGCTTCACTTGAAAAAGATCATTGGCTACAAAATCATAAGTTGTTCCGTGGCATTGAGGCAACTATCAGACACTATAGGCTTTTTACACACCACTGGTCTCCCAATACTCCAGTGCAGGACGTGTATGTGCTAAGCGGTGGCCTGGCATTCTCTCTTGCTGTATCCAATCATTATGTGGAGGACCCAACAAGACAGAGGCCTGTAACGCTAATCATTCACCCCACAGTCAAAATAAGAGCAGTGAGAGGGCTGCATCCCTCGGTATACAGGATTTATTTATTACAAAATGTCCTTGCAGAACCTGTTCACCCTTTCAGTGCAGTCTCCGCAGAGCCTCACTCTAGCAGCGCAATGCTCTGCCACTTCTCTGTACATCCACGCTGATGGGGAAGGGAAGCTGTGGAAAGGGGGCAGGGTGGTGGTGATTTTACTGGTCACTCAATATGACATACATACATATATATATTTATATATATATTTGTAATTTTCAATAGGGGCTCAAGTCCAGGTGAACAGGTGCATCTCTCACATTCGCTCATAAGCACCCCCCGCCTCCACTCTGTGGAAAGGGGGGGGAGGAGGCAGAGATCCACTCGCCGTATTTACTTCCCCTGTCCGTAGAAAGAATTCAAAACATTACCAAAAAAATGTGCAGGACTTTGTACAAGGGGAGAAAGGTGGTGGGGAGATGATGGAGGAGGTGTGGGGAGAGGTCAGCTCATCATCTCGTTACTGTTGGGGCCGCAGCTTGAGTTTTTCATTGAGTCGTTGACTTCTCGTCGGAAGGCTGAAAGGTTCTGCGTAAACCTGAGAAGGACAAAAAAAATACAAAAACAAATGCATGAGGTGATGTTGCAATCAAATATAATTCCATGTTGTTTGAACGATCAGTGCTTTGTCCAAAAATCTAGAGAAAAGCAATGGTTTACCATGAGCAAAGGCTTTTTTTTCTTTTGCAGAAACAAAAAGTGTCAGTCTTCAAAGAAATAAATAAATAGTGCTGCACATTCACAATAACCCTAGGTTTCAAACTTGTGCGGTTTCCAGTTTGCAGAAATGCATTACAGTCCATTTAACATGATTGCTTATGGTTAAAGTTCACATCTGTGCGTTTTGTGGAAAGGATCAGGGACTTTTTTTTTTTTTACCCACAGCAGTCTTTGGTTCATCAGGATTGAATGAAGCCACATAAAAAAATTCAGGTATTGCATTTTTGTTTCGTTTTTTCACCTGCATGACAACAAACTCCTCCCCCTAACAACAAACTTTCCAAAAAACGTGTGTTCAAAAGCATAAAAACATGCCGGAAAAACACATTAAATAACATGCATAGATGTCCAAAATGTGAAGACTAGACAGAAGAGATGGGGGGCTATTCATGGACAGGTGTGTCACCAGACTGTGGTGATGTAGGAGGTTGTCAGAGCCCACTAAGTTTAAATGCCACTAAACAGTACCAAGGTCATCCACTGCCCAGGGTAAAGATGGAAGACTCCCTCAGCCACTCTCAGCTCTGTTCATAGCAACCAACCAGCATCCTAATTCAGCACTGCAGAATTGGTTTCTGGCTTGAACAAAAAATCTGTCATGCAGAAGCCTGAAAGGGAACCTCCAATGAAAGAGCATTACTTTACCACAAAAACATCCATGATGTCAATTTAACCACTTGCCAACCGCGCTATAGCCTAATGACAGCTACAGCGCGGTTTCCCCGTTCTAGGAGGGCGTCATATGACATCCTCCCAGAATGCACCCTCCCGCAATCTCCGTGATCGCTGTGTCCATAGGACACAGCTGATCACGTGATGTGGTAAAAGGCCAATGCACAGCAGATCACCAGGTAAATGCAATTGCCGGTTATCGGGTGCACTTTAATCAAGCTGTCACAGCGTGTGGAAAGTACTGCTAATAACCGGCAATTGTCAGAGGATGGATTGGCACTGATGATCAGTGCCCAGCTGTGCCACCCAGCAGTGCCGCCACCTTTGCCCATCTGTGCCTAGTAGTGCCACCCACCTGTGCCCAGCAGTGCCCCCCATCAATGCTGCCCAGCAGTGCAGCCAATCAGTGCCCATCATTGCTACCTATCAATGCAGTCTCATCAACGCCCATCAGTGAAGGAGAAAAATTACCAGTTTGCAAGTTATAATAGACACAAAGAAACTTTTTTCAAATTTTTTGCTCTTTTTTTGTTTATAGTGCAAAAAAACAACAAAAAAAAACAAAAAAAAAAAACAAAAAAAAAAAAAACACCCAGTGGTGAGTAAATACCACCAAAAGAAAGCTCTATTTGTGTGAAAAAAAATTATAAAAACTTCATATGGGTACAGGGAATGCGCACTTGTCATTCAAAGTGCGACAGCGCTGAGAGATGAAAATTGGCCTGGGCAAGCGCCCAGAAGGAAAGTGGTTACTTACTTACTTACACACACACACGCACGCACGCACGGGTCAGTACAAGGATACAAAGACTCCCCCCTCCTCTGGTTTGGTGGGCAGAATACGTCATTTAAATAAATCATCATAAACTGGCAGACTTTCAGCATTACTTGCCGATGCAGCCTGCTTCCACCACTTACTTCATACCTGACAATATGGGTGTGTGTGTGCTGGGAAGGGAAACCTTTTCCTCTTTCTGAGCATGTGATGAGTCACATGACCAGGGACAGGAAGCACAGGATTCACCAGCAGGCACCTGTACTGATGGCAGCTCTGCTGCTGCCCTGCATCAAGAGAGGCATTAAATCTACAATGCCTCCTTGAATTTCCTAATGGAGCTTTGCTCAGAGCTGAAAAGCTACGCGCCCCAGCACAGGACGCTCACTACCACTCAGCAGCCCTGAAACCACTGCGCCGGGGTGGCTGTCCTCCCTGACCCCATTGTCCCAGGTCTCCCACTATATGAGGACTTTCCCCGACATATCACCTAAAAATGAAGCTTAGCCCAGCCTCCCCAAGTTCCCTACAGTGAGCAGACTCACTAATCAACAGGGAGTCGTTCTAAATTCTGAATTGGCTATTGGTGTAACCTTTACAGTTGATAACTGCAGAGGAGCACCAAGGCAGATCCATCTATGAAGTAAAATAAAACTTGGTAACTAAAACAGCTGCTGATGCAATGATCCAGATCAAATCACTTCCATTTCCTTTGTGACATTCTAATTGCATTTATTAGAATCTTAGTTTTTCCACACTAACCTGTCTCTGTTTTTGGTGAGTAGGTTCCCCTCAATTCCTTCCATTAAGTTCTCAAAGCACAAGTGCATAGCTTGCTGCTTCTCTGGAGGCTGACTGCTGACGATGCTGTTCCGGAGCTCTGCAAAGTACTGCAAGACAAAGTGTTATAGATGGTGGCAATACTTACAGCCCTGTAGGCTTGCTTAGAAAAGCTGCTCGCTCCTTCCTTACATTACACATATTCCACAGCCATGACAGCCAATAAAATGTATCTTTTGGTAATCTGACCACGAAACTGAAATCTGATTGGCTGCTACTGATTATTGTACTTTGCAATGGCTTAAAGACTAAAAATGTGTTAATGGGATAATAAAGCAGGCAGCAGTAGAAAATCGAATTAACAGAATGAAAAACAAGATAGAGGCAACTGATGGGACATGTCACCTACCTTCTCATTGAGGAGAATTAAGCCTAGTAACGGCCTGCTCATCGACCACTGGTTTCGGCAGTCTTCAAATATTATGATATTGAGAACAGTGGAAAGCATCTGTAAGAAAGACACGCATAAAAAAAAAAGCTAACCAAGTTGCTCTCCATACATTATCCCCTTTATGGACTACTGCATGTAGCCAAAATATACATACACACACTAATATATTTCATATATCAAAGAGTAAATATATATATATCAAAGAGTAAATAAATAAATATATATACAGTTGTGTTCAAAGTAATAGCAGTGTGTTGAAAAAAGTGAATAAAGCTCAAAATCCTTCTAGTAGCTTTTATTTCCATACACACAAATGCATTGGGAACACTACACATTCTATTCCAAATCAAAACATGAAGAAAAATATATCACATTTGTGTTGTTCCTCTAAAAAAACTGAAGAAAAGTGAATATTAGACTGTTCAAAATAATAGCAGTGTTTGTATTCTTCTTTACAAACTCAAACATTCACTATATAAACTGAAAAATGTTTGAAGATTTTGCTTTCCTTTGAATCAATTAATGAATATTTAGTTGTATAAGCACTGTTTCTGAGAACTGCTGTACATCTGTGTTGCATGGAGTCAACCAACTTCTGGCACCTGTGAACAGGTATTCCAGCCCAGGATGATTGGACTACATTCCACAGTTCTTCTCTATTTCTTGGTTTTACCTCAGAAACTGCATTTTTGATGTCACCCCACAAGTTTTCTATTGGATTAAGATCTGGGGATTGGGCTGGCCACTCCAAAACGTCAATCTTGTTGGTCTGGAACCAAGATGTTGCACGTTTACTGGTGTGTGTTTGGGGTGGTTGTCTTGTTGGAACACCCATTTCAAGAGCATTTCCTCTTCAGCATAAGGCAGCATGACCTCTTCAAGTATTCTGATGTATTCAAACTGATCCATGATCCCTGGTATGCGATAAATAGGCCCAACACCGTAGTATGAGAAACATCCCCATATCATGATGCTTGCGCAACCATGCTTCACTGTCTTCACAGTGTACTGTGGCTTGAATTCAGTGTTTTGGGGGTCGTCTGACAAACTGTCTCCGGCCACTAGACCCAAAAAGAACAATCTTACTTTCATCAGTCCACAAAATGTTGCACCATTTTCTCTTTAGGCCAGTCAATGTGCTCTTTGGCAAATTGTAACCTCTTCAGCACGTCTTTTTTTCAACAGTGGGACTTTGCGGGGGCTTCTTGCAGATAGCTTGGCTTCACATAGGCGTCTTCTAATTGTAACAGTACTCACAGGTAACTTTAGACCTTCTTTCATCTTCCTGGAGCTGATTGTTGGCTAAGTCCTTGCCATTTTGGCTATTCTTCTATTCATTCGAATGGAAGTTTTTCGCTTTCTTCCATGTCTTTCAGGTTTTGGTTGCCTTTTTAAAGCATTTCCGATCATTTTAGCTGAGCAGCCTATCATTTTCTGCACTTCTTTATATTTTTCCCCTCTCCAATCAACTTTTTAATCAAGGTATGCTGTTCTTCTGAACAATGTCTGGAACGACCCATTTTCCTCAGAATTTCAGAGAGAAATGCACTGTAACCAGCATGTACAACATTTGCTGCCTTCCTTCCTTAAATAAGGGCAATAATTGCCACCTGTTTTTCAAAGAATGAATGACCTCACTAATAGAACTCCACACTGCTATTATTTTGAACATGCCCCTTTCAATTAGTGATTCAATTACACAGAATCAGCAGCATGCATGTCATGACTGTGGCTCTGTTGGATTTCTATTACTCTACTACACCTGCTAGTAAATTACTTGCCATGTAGAAATATCATTTCTACCAAAAACAGTGATTGATCAGGTTAGTGATGTCTGATTGCTATTATTTTGAACACAACTGTGTATATATATATATATATATATATATATATATATATATATATATATCTCTAGTCTGTGCACAGTTTAAGGACTTTAAGTTACGCTTTAATGCCCACACACTGCATGGGTCTATGGGTGGCATAGGTTTCTGTGCTGAGAGTGCAATCACTCCACGCTCCCAGCACAGAGGTTGAGTTGTCAAAAAGACAGCTCTTGTTCTGTACTAATGATCATGGACCAGCTCCCAATCATATAACCATTGAGACAGCCAGTCACAGTGGTGACATAAATGGGCTTACTTTCCTGCCCGCCATGCATAATAGCCTAAGTAAGGGACGCCAAGGCAGATGAGAAGGGGTTAAATGGCAAAATTCAGTGTTAAAATAAAGATTACAGAAGCATTTAAACAAACAATTCAATTTCCTGCAATACATCTACATAGGGGTAGAGAAGCCACAACTGTTTTCCTGCTTGTTCCAGCTGCTGGTTAGGTGCTGCGATTTCAATACACGGTTTCATATAAGAAAGCTGCATTTTAGAAAAATGTCTGCTATATCGCAGTCTGAAGAAATCAGTCATGGATAGAACTAGTTGCATGCCAATTAAATATGTTAAACCCTTTATGACTAAAGTCACCTGTTGGATCATCTCCGGGTGCTGCTGCATTATGTGCAGGAAGCGTTCACTCTCCTGCGGGGGAGGGGCTCCCCTTTTCTTACTACTACGGGAAAGTTGCTTGAAGAGGTATGTGACTATGTGGTCCAGGCAGGAGCAGCAGCCCGTGCACACCATGGTGTCTAGAGAATGCAGAGCATGTTATTAAAACGACAGACTGCACAATGTCGACATCTTTTTCAAATACCAAATACAAGCAGATACCCACCCAGAGCTGTGAGCCCCTCAGAGATAGAGGAGAGAATGTACATGATTACATGAGGCTCCAGGCTGGCAATGAAAGACATGTGATCCTGAGTCAGCACCTCCAGCAGTGAGTAATATGACTGACTGAGCTTGGGGTAATCCTGCAATCACAGATAAACATTTCATGTTAGATTTATAGAACTACAACTCAGAGCCTGGGGCAATGCGTCTATTACATGGGATGCTTGAGGCCTGCTTATATTGAGGATAGCAAAACTGCTGGGTTTGAACATTAAATGCTTCTTTAATTAATACAGTTGAAATGCTAGTTCTTTTGAGGTGACAAATGAAGAAAAGCAGACAGAGGGGCAAAAAAATGAAAAAGGAATGGAAAAAAACCACAACTATGCCACTTCTCCAGCTTCCCTCCAGTAAAAATACTGCTCCTTTGAGAAGCACAAATCACTTTTCAAAGGAAAATGACAGGCGGTGAGGAGGCGATGTGACTTCTCCTCCCCACTTGTTTGAACCCTATTTTTGCAGACAAAACACGCTGCAACTGCGTACATTGCACTGGGCTGAGGGGTATTTGCAGCACTTCCCCATTTGCCTAAATGGGTCACATTCAGTGGGCTTGCTGCCCACCAATTGTGACAAGTTGGGTTGTTTTTGATATGGGGGCAAAGCATCAGAGAGAGGCATGTAAACACCCTCATGTGCTGCCATTTGCAGCTTAAAGCAGAACTCCACCCAAATGGCTTTTTGTTGGGGGATGGGCTGGTGGTGGAGTGGGTGTCTGGTTTTGAAAGGGTACGCGCTCAGATCGTCAAACTGGCGGCCCTCCAGCTGTTGCGAAACTACAAGTCCCATCATGCCTCTGCCTTTGGGAGTCATGCTTGTAACTGTCAATCTTGCAATGCCTCATGGGACTTGTAGTTTGGCAACAGCTGGAGGGCCGCCAGTTTGACAACCATGGCCTAGGTGATCCAACTGGAAGTTCCCCTTTCCCCCCCCCGCAGTCATCTGGGACACGGTCCTGGAAGACTGCAGGACCATTCACAATGCGCAGCTTGTGCAGTTGGCACCCAGCTGTGAAGCCGCAAGCTGTCACAGCCAGGTGCCCACAGATGAGATGCCAGTGCTGGGGAGAGAAGACAGAGGGAAGGCACAGCTCGGGATAGCACATCGCTGGATCCTGGGACAGGGGAAATGTCTGTTTATTAAAAGTCAGCAGCAACAGTTTTTGTAGCTTCTGACTTTTAATACACATAGAAATTACTGGAGTTCCTCTTTAAGGTGTAGTGGTTGAGGGTGCTAAAAACGTGGCTCAACTGTGCATTTTTACTGCCTCCCACAACTGCACGTCTAAATAAGGCCTAACAGCGCACAAAACTATCCCTGAGAAGTAAGGCTTCATCATTAAAACAAAGATTAAAAGAATAAGTTCACCTTTTTGACAAAATAATAAAGTGCTAATTCTTTTACAGGTCAAAAAAAAAAAAAAACGTGCATTTATTTTTTTTCGTCTGCAGGAGCCTGGAAAGCATTGCACCAGCGCTCAGTAGATCACTGATGCCATGCAGGTCTCCTGCAGACCTGTCAGAATATCTGCTTGCTGTACGGGATGTACGAGTAAGCCGATAATCTGACAGGAAGACACAATGAACTACCATGGTGCTCCCCAGGCTGTGGTAGTTCATTAAAAACTACAAGCTGACAGCGGCTAAGGCTGCCGGGACTTGTAGAACTCTATGGACCCATACAGCCACGCTGTTTTCAAATATGAAAGTACAGGAAGAACTTTCCCCGTACTGTCAGAGGAGGGGGGTGGTGTTAGGTACAGCTGCAGCTATGGGAACATGTTACATGTTCCACCCTAAAAAACGGCTGGAACATGTAACATTTTCCTAAGTGGAAGAGGAGATTCAAATCTTTAGAAATGGTCATTCCTGACCTGTTCTGCGACTCCAGAGGAGACAGCTCTGAATAAGCTTGGTTTCATCTGGCAATCACAGATGGGCAGTCAATGTTATTTATATAGCAATATGACTAACAGTGCTTTGGGCCATCAAAAAAAAGAATATTAGGACTGATGTATACATAATAGGCCAACTAAATGAACTTATGAATTTAAACTGCAGATGACTTCTTATACAGCCAATGCATCTTGTGGTGATCTTCAAATGCTAATGTTTAGGATGTTCTATAAAGTGGTAAAAAATAGAAATGTTTCCCATAGCGACTTGATTTCATAAATGCTATTTGCATCTCAGGTAAGACAAAATAAGCCCGATTAGATACTTATAATAATCCTAATTGATACTTTTCAGAAAGCAAACTTATTTGGATTTAACAACCAGCAAATTCCTAAACATAACTAAGGGAAATGCGAATTACTAGCGGAGGTTAGGATGGACCTGCAGATCAGAAGACATAACAATGCTGCAAGAGAAAAAAACATGGAGCTTTGAGTGCAGTATTACCAGCAGATCACTGTGTGGCACAGACAGCAGCAGTTTGACAAACGTCTGCAAAGCATTATCCAGAGCTTCATCGCCATACAGCCGGAAGACCCCAAAGTTGACATAGCTGCCACTGAGAGCGGCTTTTAGCACCGAGAAACATATAGAGATTCCCTTCAACTTCAGAACATAGAGCTGCTCCTTGGGGAGCTCACCCAGGGTCAGGATTCGGTTACCTGAGGGGGAAACGCATGTCTATAAGCACATATAAACAGCTTCAGAAAGAAGAGACTTCAATACTCCAGTTAGATGATACTTTCTACAGAAATAGAAGCACAATATAAAAATGTATGTAATAGGCACATTTCCTGCTAAAAAAAAAAAAAAAAAAAAAAAAAAAAAAAGTAATTTGCTTTGTTGCCTTCATGGTCCAAATGTTATCCTAACACAGATTTAAATATTATGAGCAGATGCGTGGCCACGCCTCCTCAAAGCAAAACAAATCAATTCCTGAGAGCAGGCTCCTATGAGGCTGAAAATCATCTTTTATGCAATCAGTAAGCCCTATGCACACCATTGTCATTCAGGACTTGATGTCTCTAACTTTTGAACCAAAATGCACCCCTGAATTGAAAGCATCTCCGGGCATAAAAATGTTTTTCCCCAGTGAAAGTCCTTTTCTCTAAGTGGGTGTTCATTTAATACGGTTTCCCTTTCTTCACCTACTTCTAACCTGCTAATCCTTTTAGTATCCTCCTTTCTACATTACTGTGCTCCTTCATTTTCTCACACTCCCTCCAAAGGTCTACCTTCAATGTGGAAAGCTTCTTGCCAATGTCTCCTGCAGACCTAATCCTCTGAATGGGGAGAAAGGCAGCCTCTACTGCGACATATGTGATCATCTTCAGTGATCATTGACATGCAGAGAGGTGTAGAATGCAGAGGTCTGAGTGATTGTGTAACTGCGTAAAAATCAGGCAAAAGGTTTTTCTCTGCAAACCTTTTAGTAAGTGCATAGTTTTCCATGTACAAGGGGGCAGCCATATTTTCTCATTGCATTGTTGGGCTCGGATTTCTACTTTGCAACGTTCAGACCCATTCATACGAATAGTTGTGAAAGAACACAGTCACTGGTGTGCAGGAGGACAGTGGTGCAGATGTGCTGATCCAATCAAAGTGTTTGCTCTTTTCTTAATGCAGTTCTGCAGGCTGCAGCATGATGCGAAGCAAGTACTGCATGCATTGTCGTGACCTTGGCAAATAAAGGCTGATGGAGAGATCCTGCATTTTGTGAAAGCAGTAATCCATTTAGGTCTCACATCAGACTCATTCAGCCACAGTAAAGGTTTAGTTTAAGGCTTTGGAGTGTGACTTTTGATGTGACTTTACACTCTCTGGCATTCAACTTGCATTAACCACCTCCCGCCATATAGTAATATGACAGATGCAAGGTGGTTCTCTCGTTCTGGGAGGACGCCATATGACGTCCTCCATTCTCTCCCTTGGACACAGCGGATCACCGATCACGGAAAGAGCCGAAGATGTCGGCTCGGTCGTGTGATCAGCTGTGTCCAATCACAGCTGATCACATGTAAACAGGAAAATGCCGGTTATCTGCATTTCTCTCCTCTCGAGCTGTCACGCTGACAGCTCGAGAGGAGAGCCGGTAATCGGCTTTCTGCGGAGGGGGACATGTACACTGATCATCAGGGCCCTGATGATCAGTGTAGCCCCAGCAGCGCCACCTGTCAGTGTCCATCAGTGCCCTTGTCAGTGCCAGTGCCCATCAGTGCCACATCAATGTCACATATCAGTGCCCATCTGAGCTGCCTTTCAGTGCCACCCATCAGTGCCAGTCAGTGCCGCCCATCAGTGCCAGTCAGTGATGCCTGTCAATGCCCATCAGTGCCACCTACCAGTGCCTCCTCATCAGTGCCCATCAGTGCCACCTATCAGTGTCTATCACTGCAGCCTATCAGTGCCCATCACTGCAGCCTCATTAACACACATCAGTGAGGGAGAAAAATCACTTATTTACAAAATTTTATAACAAAAACTACAAATTTTTTTTTTTTTTTTTTACATTTTCAGTGGTTTTTGGTTTAAGAAAAACTAAAAAAACCCAGAGGTGATTAAATACCATCAAAATAAAGCTATGTCACAAAAAAACAACAATTTCATATGGGTACAGTGTTGCATGACCGCACAATTGTCATTCAAAGTGCGACAGCGCTGAAAGCTGGAAATTGGCCTCGGCAGAAATGGGGTATAAGTGCCCCATAGGCTAGCGGTTAAAGTTTTCAAAGTTTCTGCAACTTTAAAATGCATAGATCCGAACAGGTGCCATTGAAAACATTGGGCTAGGACTTGTCTTACGACATTATGGGGTTTTATTACTAAAGCTGGAGAGTCCAAAATCAGACTTCCTTCTGCATAGAAACCAATCAGCTTCTAACCTCAGCTTGTTCAATGAAGCTTTGGCAATGAAACCTGGAAGCGGATTGGTTTCTGTGCAGAAGTGAGTCTGATTTTGCACTCTCCAGCTTTGGTAAATAAACCCCTATAAGTCCAAAGTTGTATGACAAGTTGCACAAGTGTGTGGATATTATTTTATCGTTACTATCTTGTATTACGTGTTTTTATATGTATTATGGAGGCCTTCATTTTTTGAGAATGCCATCTTATGTCTCTTGCTAATATGTTTTGATTAATGCTTTTAGTTTTTCATTTGGTTGAGACAAAAGTATCCATTAATTATTTTCAGCTGCAATTAACATTTTGGTAAGATGGGTACATAGCATGTGTGCAGCATGATGCATATCCTGTGATTAAGTGCTATTAAGCAATAATGTTAAACAAATTAGAAGTCTCACTTCACCTGCAGAATTGCACTTGATTTTAAAGATACAGTATATATTACAATAAAAAAATAAATGATTTTACCGAAGTGCGGTCATCCACAATCCTTCACAAGGCCTGGTGTTGCTGTGAGACTGTGCTGGGAAAAAGGCTGCCCAGTGCCATCCCAAAACAGCTGGTGTAAGAAAGCTCTTAAAAAATAATGACTGTGCTTCACTGCTTCTTCTCACAAAGGAAGTCTATCAATTAGTTGAACCACAGAAAACAACGCACTGACTATACAGCGGATATTATATTTCTGACATGCAAACAAAAACCGATTCCAATAATCCTTCAAGTCACATCAATGGGCTGACAGTGATGTAAGGAAGGGTGCAAGCCAGAACTGCCAAACTCTTCTACACCAACTCATTATGATAAGTGTGGAGGAAGAAACTAGGACGTGTGTCAGTAACCTACAAAATAGTGGTGTCACACAAAGTGACCACGCAGTTTGGAAAGAGGTGTGTAAATAACAAAAAAATAGTTGGAACAGAAAAAAAACAAAAAAAGGTAATTTGGTATGTTAAATAAACTAATTTATCCATTTGTAAGATAATGCAGATTAAGTGAAGGGAGTATCATCTTATTTAACAGCTTACCATACGTCGTGTGATCATTTTACTGGTCTCTCGGAATAGGAGGATGCCATTCGGTGAGGAAACATCAAACTGTAACCTCTGTGATCTGTGAATGTGTGTCAGACATTGTCAGCTCTTATTTGCAGTTTTAACAGTAAAAATAAAAAATAAAGGAAGGGGAAATCACACCTGTTGTGTACTAGTTCTGCCATAAGCTTAAGGATCGGTGTTGTACAGGCCGGGTCATGGAACCAGAGTTCTAGTGCCCTCTGAAGAATGGGCATGTATGCTGGGTATCTGAAAATGGCTAAGGAATAGCAATGAGCAGGACTGCTACATATCAGACATGCCCCTCCACTATTGACAATCCTTATTGGTTAGACCACTACATATGCATTGGTAGACTTTTTACCTTTTAGTTCCGAATTAAATGTAAACTATTTTGGTTTTGGAAAAATAGTGAGAGAAATTCTCAAAAAGTAGGGATGGTAAGGCCCTGAAAAAAAATATAATTAAAACCTCCTGCGCTTCAGATGAATAAAAACTAAGCAGCCAGCACCCTCTTTAAAACAAAAAGTGTATAAGTGAAAATTAAAAAATGGTGCAGCGCTAAACAAATGTCATTATATAAATGAACATAAGCCTAAACTGATACATAAAATTATATATAACACAAATAAACATGCATGCAAGGATGAACCCCCTGCCGGTCCCCTATGGGGAAAAAACGTGACCATATATCTATGATGGTTTGTACATATAATCATGCAAAGGGATACCACACTGCAGCAAGTGATAAAGTGAATAAATACAGTCCACTTCAAACAAAACTGTGATTCTTCAAAACGTGAGAGTGCCACTGGTGCCACAATCCTATAATGGTCTGAGTGCCTCCTCACCTCCCAGCACTGACCGCAAGGGCCAATACGCCTTTGTAACATATAGGGTATAACCCTCAGATGTCAACCGGTCTCAGGTCCACAGTAGATTCCACCTCAAATGCTGTATTCCAAAACCACCTCCAGCCGCTGTTAATGGTGGTAGTATACCACCAGACGATGCTCAGAGACACAAACAAAAACTTCCCATAGCGTGATACTGTAATTTTATTATAAAATATAGATACAAAAAATGCCCACTCACATTTCCGCATTAGATTTAAAACATGTAGCAAGTCCTCATGTTGTCCTGGTACTGCGGGTGTACCTGGAGTCCCAATATGGCGCGTAGGTCGGAAGTGACGTCACCGCGTACCGGAAGTGTCGTCAGGGCGTGCCAACGCGTTGCGTCACAGGTACACGTGACTTCATCAGGGTTTGCCACTTCCGGTACGCGGTGACGTCACTTCCGACCTACGCGCCATATTGGGACTCCAGGTACACCCGCAGTACCAGGACAACATGAGGACTTGCTACATGTTTTAAATCTAATGCGGAAATGTGAGTGGGCATTTTTTGTATCTATATTTTATAATAAAATTACAGTATCACGCTATGGGAAGTTTTTGTTTGTGTCTCTGAGCATCGTCTGGTGGTATACATACCACCATTAACAGCGGCTGGAGGTGGTTTTGGAATACAGCATTTGAGGTGGAATCTACTGTGGACCTGAGACCGGTTGACATCTGAGGGTTATACCCTATATGTTACAAAGGCGTATTGGCCCTTGCGGTCAGTGCGGGGAGGTGAGGAGGCACTCAGACCATTATAGGATTGTGGCACCAGTGGCACTCTCACGTTTTGAAGAATCACAGTTTTGTTTGAAGTGGACTGTATTTATTCACTTTATCACTTGCTGCAGTGTGGTACCCCTTTGCATGATTATATGTACAAACCATCATAGATATATGGTCACGTTTTTTCCCCATAGGGGACCGGCAGGGGGTTCATCCTTGCATGCATGTTTATTTGTGTTATATATAATTTTATGTATCAGTTTAGGCTTATGTTCATTTACAGTTGTGGCCAAAATTATTCAACCCCCAATGCTGTAAAGGGGTTTAGGGACTATAGTGTACATTTGGAATTGTATTCAGAATCAAATCCTACAAGGACGTTGTAACTACCCAAATGCAACTAAAATGACATCAATTGTTTATGTAATACAGTAGTAAATGGTTCTTATGTGGTTTCTTCATTGCCACAATTATTCAACCCCTTAAAGACTACCACTCTGAAGAACAGAGGTTCATACAGGTGCTTTCCATCAGGTATTGAAAACACCTGTGGATGTCACCGAGCAGCAATCAAGCATAAATAAGCACCAATTAGGCAGCTTTAAAATGACTGTGATACTCAGCTCCTTCTAGACATTTACTGGTGTGTGGTTACAAACATGGTGAAGGCAAGAGAATGGTCCAGGAAGACAAGAGAAGAGGTGATTTCTCTTCACAGGAAGGGCAATGGCTATAAGAAGATTGCAAAGATGTTAAACATACCAAGAGACACCTTAGGAAGCATCATTCGCAAATTCAAGGCAAAGGGCACTGTTGAAACGCTACCTGGTCGTGGCAGAAAGAAGATGCTGACTTCGACTGCTGTGCGCTACCTGAAGCGTAGAGTGGAGAGAAGTCCCCGTGTGACTGCTGAGGAACTGAGAAAAGATTTGTCAGATGTGGGTACAGAAGTTTCAGCCCAGACAATAAGACGCACACTGCGTAATGAAGGCCTCCGTGCCAGAACTCCCAGGCGTACCCCCTTGCTGTCTCCAAAGAATAAGAAGAGTCGACTGCAGTATGCCAAAAGCCATGTGGACAAACCACAAAAGTTGTGGGATAGTGTTCTGTGGACTGATGAAACAAAATTAGAACTGTTTGGGCCCATGGATCAACGCTATGTTTGGAGGAGGAAGAACAAGGCCTATGATGAAAAACACCTTGCCTACTGTGAAGCATGGTGGAGGGTCAATCATGCTTTGGGGCTGTTTTGCTTCTGCAGGTACAGGGAAGCTTCAGCGTGTGCAAGGTACCATGAATTCTCTTCAGTACCAGGAGATATTGGATGGAAACGTGATGCAGTCCGTCACACACCTGAGGCTTGGGAGACGTTGGACCTTTCAACAGGACAATGATCCCAAGCATACCTCCAAGTCCACTAGAGCATGGTTGCAGAGGAAAGGCTGGAACATTTTGGAGTGGCCATCGCAGTCACCAGACTTAAATCCGATTGAGAACCTCTGGTGGGACTTAAAGAAAGCAGTTGCAGTGCGCAAGCCTAAGAATGTGACTGAACTGGAGGCCTTTGCCCATGAAGAATGGGCGAAGATACCCGTAGATCGCTGCAAGACACTTGTGTCAAGCTATGCTTCACGTTTAAAAGCTGTTATAACTGTAAAAGGATGCTGTACTAAGTACTAAGATTGAATGTCACTTGGGGGTTGAATAAAACTGATAATGCTGTGAGCACAGAAAAGACATTTGTGGTTATTTCATTATAACTGTTATGTTATATTTGTCTGACCTACAAGTGCCTCTTTAATGTAAATGTAAGCAAGATGACTGAATGATCAAAAGCAATGTCAAACTGGCCAAAACACTCAATTTCAGTGGGGGTTGAATAATTTTGGCCACAACTGTATATAAAGGCCCTGAAAAGCTGACTCCAATAGCAAATTTCCCCTCACTTTCATTTATAGTTACAGCTGTCTTTGGGGTAACAAGTGAGGAGGAATCGGTCAGCAATAAACCTGACAGTTGGCTGCAGTTCCACTTTAACTGGTCTACTTACCAAGCAATCAGTAAAAAGAAAAATGAAAAGTGAACTGAAAGCAATAATCAGTTTGCAGAATTTATATGAATTTGAAGTGGCATGAAACCCAAAGCAAACATTTATTGCATTGCAACTTACACATTCTTACATGTGATGGCTGCAGTATTTTTCTTTTTTTCATCTGGTGATCCAGCCAGTAAATCTGTTGTTTTTCAACAGAACAAGCTGTCCTGCAGAAGAAGCACTTAGGGGGATGGAACAAACCATTTGCCACGGGTGCTTACAATGATCAGCTTTTATACATTTATGTAAAACCTTTATTCCCAAAAGGGAAAAAAAAACACTGTTGCTGTAACTGCACCAACTCTAGATTGTTCTAGATTCGAGGAGGGTGCTGGAATCTACTGTATTGTGACAACAAGACTCCTCCACTGCCAGAATACACTGATCAGCTTTGTTGCCTATTGGTTGCATGCACTGATCGAAACACAAATTTTCAAACAGTCTTGTTCGAGAGGATTACTAGGAACAGCCAAAAAAGGATTAAACTTTGTCTGGTCCCTGATGAACTGTCCAACTTTCCCCCTAGACCGACAATTCTGCTGTCTAAAGGTGTTTCTGTGCTCCTTCATCCAGAGTGTAGGCACTCTAATATAGGATGTGGGTTACTGGCCAGTTCTCAAGGGGAAAAAGCTTAAGAGAACAAAAACTAATGCAGCCACATCTATGATTGTTAAGCTGCAATATACTGCATTTTTGGTTTTGGGTTTAATACCACTTTAAGTTGTATGTTAAAAAATGAACACAATTCCGTAGTCTTTACCAGAATTCCTCTAATACATCAGGGGCATGTCAGCTAACGGGGAAAGAACAGTGGCTCTGAGGAAGAGGCAAGTCCTTGAAACGCATCAGCCTTTTGGATGTCTAAACTCCCTATTGCGGACTGTTACTCAGCGCGGTGTTGACCCAGCTGTTCTTTTATGATGTGCCTTGACTATATTGTCGTTTGTGAGTACAACACCTACTTTATTTCTTATTAAACATTTTTTATGGTAATGCACTAGGCCTGTGCGCCCTCTCTTTGTTCTTTCCCCATTCAGTATATTTGGATTCCCCCGGTCCATTTGAGGGCAGCAAGGTGTGCATGTTCCAGGACATTCTTAATGTGGTTGTAGCCTGCATCGAGTCTATCCCCAAGCGCAGGAGCATTTGTGTTTGCTGGTTCTTTGGCATGTCAGCTAATGACCAACACAGCCTGAAAAGGATACATCCAGTCAAATAGCATCATAAAGCTACTCTTGGCGTTAAATGCAAAGGCGATTCCTCGCAGGTCTCTCACCAACCCAACTAGACTTCTCTAGACATAGAAGAGAACATTGTTAAAACAGGTACAGAAAACATTTTCCCACATAATTACCTCTTCCACAGCAAAGCTGGTGGGAAATGGAATAAATGTGGCACCTAGCAACCAATAATTATGAGGAAGCTCCTGTTGCCCAATCTAAATTACCTACTCAGTGAGTCTCCAGAGACAGGGCAAGTGCAGAGACAATGCCAGTGGCTCTGGACCTGGAGAGTGCTCTGCAGCTGAC